ACATGGATATGACCTATCGTGTTAACTAGGTACCTATACTTTCCCATCAGGCCCTTGATTCCCCTATCTATCGTGGCATGACCTAACGGTAGTATAAACCTTACCCAATTAACCCACACGAACATGTACAACACGTCGTAGAACTGGTCATATCCTATCCAAAGACTACATTCTCTATCATGGGGACGAGTCGCCAATCCACCACCGATCAGCAGACACAATGAAGTCAGTGATGCTAACTTATCAACAGAAGTTCTTGACCCGTAGATAATATGCAAGGGTGGGATCTCCAATTTCGACATTTCATCGTCTCCAGAAGACTTTAAGTAGCATGACGTGGGATTAATATTTATCTTTCCATCTCCCGATACAGAGGCGGTTTGATCAGTGTTCGTCATCGTCGGTAACTCATTTGTCACATCAGTGACATCCAGTTTATTATCAACGTCATCATGATTCCGTTCTGTCAGACAAGTCGCGTCGATTCGGTGTGCATTAGCATCCGTTTCAGAGACACAAGACATATGCTCATCAATAGCATCGTCATCACACAACACTGTAGACTGGCCGTTACCATCAAACACTTTCTTCTCATCATCACTCGACTGACAGTCAACCGGAATAGGAACAGTTACAGTTGCACAACCTTGTGCATCTTCAATCAACTTAACCTTCGTGACGAGGTCCGATGACGTCGAAACACTAGGAGGCTCATTCGATGAAGTTGATAAACTAGTCACTATAAGTGGACTTCTGACACTTTCTATCTCCTTATTATCACTGTCACTACTAAGGTTCTGATGGCTACTATTTCCATGGCTAGTCGTAGCATCCGAAAGAGCATGAGGTTTAGGCTTCTTAGTAATAGTAGCATCATGTTGTCTCCTAGGCTTCTTAGCCTTTACAGTACCACCGTCACTTATCCTAGAATCTACTCTAGGTCCAGTTATATAATTTACCCTAAATGAAGGGTTCCGAAAATAGGCCTTATTCCTTTCAGACAATCCTGCCTGGGCCTTCTTCATATATACTGAACTCATTAACCTCTGATTACTCGAATCCAAATAACCATTCCAGGCTTTTCGAGCAGCTAAGAGGCTTTTATCATCACACACTTCGGATCCATCTTGATGCCTACACTTTTCACCCTTTTCTTTCTTTTCCATACTTAGAAAAGCCATCTTATCTGTTACACCGACCGGCTTCTTACTAGGACACGCATCAAGAGGTTTTACATCGTTACGGTCACATACTCGTCCTTCATCAGCGTATGCTTTCGTGATATAATTGACAACTCTCTTATCTTCCGAGCGTGCTTTAGGTAGAAACGAAAAATCCTCATGTCTCACACGCAGACCACTAGTAGCTTCCGTATTATGTTCTGTTTTAGCCCGATAAGCTAATCTTCCAAACCTACTACTAGCTATCTTAGCACGAGACATAATAAATTCCGTCAATTCGTTAAAATTAGGCTCTCTCTCCTCTTCGTCCCACTTGATTCCTAGCTCTGCCCACTGGGCTTGCATTCGACGAGGTAAGAGCCTGACTATTCGTTCTAAAGTAACCATGGAATTAAGTTCCGTTGTGCAATTTAGTTGTTCTAAAATTAAAGCAGCATTCTGCATCTTAATAGCCAAGTTCGTCAATAATTCAGGATCATTAAAATCTACATTCCCAGTTCTAAATAAATCCTCTAAGGTTTCTCGGGCTATTACATGCGACTGTCCAAAGAGCTGTTTTAAAATGGCCTTAGCTCTCTTATATCCTGCTTGTGGATCCATAATAATACAGCCTTCAACCGCATTTTTTGCTTTTCCCTTACAATAATGAATTAAATACAATAAACGAACTTGGTCGTCTTTTATTCTGGGTTCTATAAACGTTTCGAATTGACGCATGAACCTAAAATAGTCGCGAGACTTTCCATCAAAATATGAAAGTTCGACCTTAGGTAGTTCTAAACCCTCTATCGATGTCTTACGTATCTGATCGGTCTCTGGTACCTTAGAACTCTCACTTAATCCTGGTTCCTTAATGCCTGCCAAAGGTGACTTACAATAATAAGTATCAGACATAACATGTGGGTTACCCATAAAAAATTCATCATTAACGACTTGCCTAGAGCTCTGTGATCCGTCGAGCTCTTCCACCCTCCTCATGTGTGATTTTTTTCTGCTTGACATCATAAATGAAGTTCAATAAGGAAGGTAACAAATACAAAATATAGTAATTCCACAGTTCAGTTCCGGAATATGATAAATAATCCAAATTTCTTCTTTCAAGAAAGTCTAGTGTGATGAACGATTAAAATTCCAAATGTTTCTTTATAATTCTTAATAATCCAACTGTAATTGTTCGATTTATCAAAAGGTAATAGATAATTCCAAAATATAAACGTTCCTAGGAATATTTCCAGGCTATAAATGAACGGAATTCCAACATTGGTTAGACTGTAGGTGAGTTCTTCATCGTGACAGCTCAATTCGATTCCAATAGACGTAGGTTGGACGCACTTCCCAATTTCGAAGTTAAAACACAATAATTCTAGAGGGAAATGGTCTATTTACAAATTACAAATGGAAATACAAATAATACCTAACTAATGTTACGTCTTCCAATTCAGAATTACTCCAAACGAGTATCAATGTTCCGAGGTTTAGGTGAACTCCTGTACTGCCCGATGATGAATCCAAAAATGTGGCGGTAGCCATATTATATCAAATTTAAACAACATATGTACAGTTCAGAAGCAAACACAAAAACTTCAATATAAGTACAAAATATAGAAAGAATAACAATATACAATGATAAAATCTCAAATTGGAATCAAATAAAATACCAAAAATGTCAACAGAAAAAGTCCGTCATGTCATAGCAAAAATACGTAAACATGGAGGGATTTTCCAAAAAACAAAACATTCAAAAAGGATTCTACAATGGGCCAGAGTAGAACTTAAAATATAGACGAAGAACAATATAATTATCAGTGCTGTCAGAAACTATACACTGCTTCCCGAACTTTCGGCTCTATAGTTCATACATAGAGCTTCTAATTTCAACTTCACTTCTGTCCACTTAGATAAAAATTACAACCTTTGATTTTTCATTGCAGTACTCTCTAATTTGAAGGCTGTGTTACTACTGTTTACTTTAATGTTAGTGGTCTGTATTAATTTTATCTAATTCGCCGTTGCATTGTCTGCTCCACGATGAAAGGTTAAACAATGCTCTGGTAGAAAATCCTATTGTCTTTCTGTTCAGTTTTCTTCCGTTTTTTCGAATACCAATCAACAGTGCACAAACATATTGCCTCTGAGCAAAATACAGCTAAATTGCGCTTGTCAAGTTTTGAGCTCATACTAAGCGCATTTTGACCAACGCTTTCTACTAAATCTGCGCTTACTAACATGTTCTACCCTGCGAATTGATCTCCATAAGCACCGTCTCGGGAGTCTGTAATGGGATGAGTCGTGGCTGACCAAGATAACCAAGATACATAACAATTACGTTACCGTCACTGAATATAGTATCTTCGGGAATCAAGGACAAGGAAGAAAAGGTAATCCCTACAAAGAAATATATTTGCTGGCGATTTCGTGGTATCGAAAGAATACTGAAATCATGCCAGTAAAGAGGGGCGAAGTTACCAAGACAGTGGGGCGGAAATGGCAGCAACACAAACGGAAAGTTTGCGCGTACAGAGTCTAACAGACAAAAAGTACAGTAAAACAATAACTGTTACAACTGGTTATAAGAATGAGTGTTTCTATTAATTCAGTGGCATTCTTCCCATAGAAGTGAAGTCACTACAAGTGTCTCTCGAATTGAGAATATCGCCTAAGAACTGGAAGGGTTCCTGCCCTACTTGTAAATGCTTCTCGGCTCTCTGAGCTAAGATCATGTGTAGTACCTTGTTGATAATGTATTTGTATCAAACTGTTTATGCCGGCGACATATTGTAAATTGGCTATGCCAAAAAACGAATGTCGATATTAATCTAACCGAGCAACCTGTTACAATCAGTGCGGTAGCATTAGTAACTATTTGATTATGCCCTCTAATCTTGCATGCCGTATGTATTTATGATAGTTATGATGTTAGGGAGTGAGTGGATGCGTTGCACGGCGTCTCCAAAAGGTAATCTGGTAAGGATGCGTGATTTGGAACCTCCAGCTAGGGTGTGTTCAATAAAACTAACGAAGTCACTGTCGAAGACTGACAAAAAATTACTTCTGGTGATTTGTTTACCTCTACACTTCTAACATTCCTGTTTGTTTTGAATGTTCAGGACCCGGCCTAGAGGAATCAGTGATCGGTTACAACTGTGTTAAAGCTTCTTATGTTCCGTCTTCAACCACCTGACAAAATGAAGACAAATTTTATTTTCTAGTGGTGACCGAGTCGAGATTGACTATGATCACCACTAAATGCAAACTGCTATCCCGTCATGATAATCAGAAATAATTCCAGGGTAAAGAATATATTTAATGGAGAAAGAAGGCGATACAATGAGCAGCGAGTTATGAATGATGGCAGCAACGCAAAAAAGAAGGTTGCGTGCAAGTAAGTGTCTTTAGTACAGTTAAACAAAACAATACAATAACAGATTCTTTCTTTTCATTAATTGCGTTTACTTCGTAGAAGTGTTCCACTACGGTTCCATTAACTACAGAATGTCAGTGGAAAGAAACATCTAGAGTGTAATGTCTCTTTCCTCCGGTTAAAAGTGTATGCTAGAACTACTCGGACAGTACGGGTTAGATGTATCAACACTGTTCCTATGAATAAGCATTTTGTATTTCCTAGCGGAATAGGGCAATAAATTTACAGTGTCTCAGTAACATATAGTAAATAAATCTTCTCCCATATATTTGTATGAAAGGAGATATAACGACATACAATATCATGTATTCTAAACTTAAGATACAATACAAGCAGGAAGCTTGTCAGCTTTCACTTTGCTTTAACTTTATCACATGGACGTATCGTTTGATCCATTAGTTGTTATGCGCTACGGTTGAATTTCAGCTGATTGTGGGTAGCAGGTTAGTACGTCGTTTTCCTCGTTTTATTCTTGTGCCGCATAATGCTTAGTCGTTAAGAGTTGAAACTCTTTAATAAAAGAAAGTAGGCAATAGTGAAGCGCAGTCTTTTTAGGTCTTAACGCCAGGCTGATTACAAGAAGTTGGAAAGTGTTATTTAAATATGTGGAGCTAGTTGCACAACAACTTGCCTTCATGGCTCAACTTTTTGTCCATGATATTATTATTTCCTGGTCGTCTAGAATTCCCCCCTATAAGTTTTTGCTTGGGTGTTCATTCTCCAGTATTAGATTTTTGCGTAAATGAATGAACTCATGTTTTTACTTTATGACTCGTTTGAAAATCATTTTTGTACCAAACTATATATTTTATTTCTGTTTCCATCCTTTCGAACGCAGACCGTAGGTCTTTAAATGTTATTTTTAGAAGAAAAATGTCCAATCAACAGGAACACGTTTTGGCCATGCAGTTTCTAAATCTGTTTGCTCATTTTGACTACCCTCATGTCTACTTCTAGTTTCCTAATAAATATAAAAAAATGTGGGCTTCACTTCAGCAGTTGATCAGTACACCTTTTTGCACTTCACGTTTTTATAGCAATAAAAATCAAAAAGCGTAAATTAAAGATCATATATAGTGTAAGACACGGTGTAAATTTGCTTCAGTTCAAACCTACACGTCCCAAATTAGCGAAGTGAGAGTAGATCGGTAATATGAAGGATGAGAAATACTATCAACTGGATTGTAATATATACTGTCTAAAATATATGATGTATTCAATAGGATCGAATCACGTCAAAATAAAAAGCATTGAATAACATAAAAGGAGTTGGGTTAGATTTACCCATATCGTTTGACGTCTCTAGCTTTAGGTTATGGTTATCTTAACTATGAAGTTTCCTCCTCCGCACATGCTTCAAACCAACAGTAATTGACAACAGAAATTGACCGAAGTTCTCAATGTAACTTTTCTCTCTGTATTCATGTGCTTGGTAGCACCTTGCGTTGGAGTAATCGTTGAGTTGAAATGAACATACACTAATTGTAACTAACAAGATGTACAACCCTAACATTCTATATGAAGCAATCTACACCTGACTTAGATATAAATAACTCTAAGGTCCCACTATGCAAAAGGATTGCTCAAAAAATGTTGAATCCAATCCTATTGGTTTATGTACGTTAGATAAGCGAAGTGGTTAGTTAATTCTAGTTCACTCTCTAAAACTAGGATAAGCATTGCCATGATCAAGTCCTAAACAACATTTTGAATTACGAGATAGAGAAACGAATGTCAAATATTGTCGAATTTTTATTCAAAGTATTCGAAGGACAGCACATATCTCCACCTAAAAAACCTATCTTTTTGGATGTCTTAATCTAGTGTAATGTATTTTAAGCAGTTGTTTGTGAGTAGACGTAGTTAGTCTTCTGATACACTTAATATATTCGTATTGTGACTAGCAGTGATATTTGGGATAGAAGTTTTGTTCCATTCGGTGCTCGTTAGTCTAATGTACCTACATCTTATTGTTAAACCCAGAATCTACCGTTTCAACCTTAGTACATTGATCACTGGTTCGAAATAACAGCTAACTTGTCCAACTAGTATAATGTCTATTTTTACTGGTGTTGAATGTGTAGGTATTAATATTCTAGAGTGAAACTTGATGGGATGAAATGGACATTTTAAATTTCATTTTCAACCGCAATCTAAATACATCAAAACTTGTAACATGACAGCTTCTATGTATCCACTTAGAATGAATCTATGCTAACAATGACTGATCAAACTACAGTTTTGAATATAAACGACTGGATAATATAAGCCTTTACGGACACCAGTCAGCACCACTAATTACTCTCACTGGCTTTTTCTTCTGTTGATTCCTTTTTGTGTTGATATAATGTGGTAATTCAGTCGTAAGAATCATCACCAGGCCACACACGGGTTATCTGTGTCCTGTTCTCCTATCAGTAGTGACAGATTAGGTAATGAGTTCTCGTCGTCTAAATTTATTCAAACACGTATGCCGTATCCCCAACCATCACCTCGACACTTGATGACATGGTGTAAGAGTAGGTTTGGGAGAAAGTTAGGGGTAACTAGACCAAAACGTGTTATCAGTTCAGCAAGTAATTGTGAGTTGGATTGAGATTCTCAAATAGGTGTAGATTAACCGACCGGGGCCCGTGTGATTATGTTAACCATTAGTTTGAAATGGCTTCGTAACGTTTCTATTGCACAGGTGCACCCATTTTTGTGTTCCCTTATATTATAAGTTTCTAAATTATCTCATTTTTTGGCTTCATGTATTTTCTTCTGCATTCATGTACTCTGCCTAACACTTTCTGATAACACTAATACTTTCTCCACTGATACCACTGTGGTATCTCACTATGCTCTGATAGCACGATAACATAAACCGGTTCACTTATGTGCCAGGATTTACTTTGAGTGTCACTGGATAACTGACTACCACAAGGATAAATCTTTTAAACTACGTAGTGAAATATGTCACTGAATAATCAGTCAGCGTCTCCACGTAGACTGTTGGTCATATTTCGTCAAATATTCGTATACTTTCCTTAAAGAGTGGTGATTGGTCGTTCACTATTCTATGATATTCAAATGGTGATCGTTTTTGTAAATAGCCCACATATAAATCCGGTCAGTTACCCGCAATTACTACTGGTACGGATTAAAAGCGAACATAGGCTATCAGCGCTTCAGATGTAAGAAAATCTGTACGAGTAATTACTTGTGTTAACATTTTTGAACTGGAAAGAAGAGGGTATATTTTGCGTACTCATTCTGTGACTTCAATATCACCTTAGTTCACAAGTTATCTTAATAAGCTTTTTATGCTACTACGTGAAACCGATTTTGTTTTACAGTTGATCGATGCGACGGTATTTCAAAAAAGCCCGAATTCTCTTCATCCTTTTATTCTTCGTTATTTTACTTGGAGTATGTTGGGTGATAGGTAATGGTGAACAGTCTCTTGGAAAATATCGGGTACGTTTTATTTATGTGTAAACTATGTTTCAAACTTGTGAGATATGTTAAAATTCATCATATTGTTACTAACGGATTACAATAGGTGCGTATTATTGTTGTATAAGCAATTCACGGAGAACTGTGGCGCTACGTTTAGGACTTTTTTTAAATGATGTACTAATAACTATTTTTCGCTACTAACAGCCATTTATTATTTCTGACCTTAAAAATAATCATAGTTTATGTTGTAACGCTTGCTTAAATGATTCCCAGCTAATTCCTATTGCTTAGTATTCTCTGACCACAATACACTGGACAAGTTCCAAAGAATCAAAAACACGGTGGAACATGAAAAGATTATATTCCAAATGCCAAGGTTAGATGGAAATACGAAGTCAAAGGTGATGGCGCAGGCAAAATAGATACAACGTTAAATTCTTCATCGTATTTTCATGAGAAGCTTCTGGAGTGTAATTCACGTGATCGACTGGATTAGATTTAGCCAATTTGAGTGCAGCTAACAACACGAGAATTTTCTACCCTGTTCCTCAAGAGTCGATCAGGCGCTGATTGGATAGGAAATTAGCCAACCAGCGCGCAGCAACGTAGTCATGCTTTAATTCCATCTATGTCCCACTAACAGTTTAATTCTTATTTCCTAAACTTATACTTAGTTACTGAATTAGTCAATCAGAAAATTTAACCAGCTTCGAAATATCTAGGCAACTAGATTTCATAAAAGCGTGACTCGTGATACTTAATGTAAAATCGAAATTGTACTTTCTAGTGTATGTTTGTTTCCCGTCATAGAGTTTAGTGTTTTATTTATGAACATTCACATTCAGTTCCATAAATGCACTAAGTAAAACACTTCCAGAGTAACAGACTAGCAATCTGTAATTTTACTAGCGAAACTATTCAAACTTCATTACAGTTTATTGTGAAAACCAAAGCGTTTAAATCAGATAATAACGTCCATTTAGCACTAGAAATGATACCATAAAGTAGCCTATATATATGTATATATCATAGCCGACGTTTTCGGAAAAATTCCTTAAGATAAACTAAAAATTTGTTGTCACATTGCACGATTCAATGTCAGGTACCGTGAATATAGAAAATTGGTTTTGTAGTTTGGTGAAGCAATTTGAAGCATGTGAAATCAAGAAGTGACGAAAAACTAAAAAAGATTAGATTGCTCATCTGTTTCAAGAATTTTATTTTAAAAGCTGTCAGTTTTGATGATACGATTTCATAACAGTACATATTTAACCACTATTTCAGTGTTATGAACATTATTTAAATACGTATTTTCCTCAAGAGTCATGGAGTAAACATTGTCGTGAATAAATCCGATTGAATTTATGTTATGAAATGAACATCTCTGTTCAATTATTTAGGAAAAATGTTCAGGCTAGGAAATAATTTTGAATCTCAATGGAATACGTGATCTTTTAAACAGTTATGCCCATACCTATTAGTTTTAAGCATTATATTTGAATAAACAATTTCAAAAAAGCTCAGACTTGTATCTCTGGTTTTGTTATGAATAAAACTTGTTCATCTCTCTGCATATTTATTCTTGTGCTTATATTATCATCAACTGTTAAATATTTGTGTAATCAAGTAGGATTTAATGAATAAACGAGGTTTGTGACTGTTAAGTTGAACAAATATACTTCTGGTCGACATAAGATATGCAATGATATGATGATGAATGATTGCTGTCCATAAGATCGAATTATTGACCTTTGTCTCCACTAAATTATTTGATATCAGAGACTTGAGCACTAGCCAAAAGAACAGGTTTTTGTAGTAACATGTTTATATACAAAATATTGCACAAAATCATTTTTATGAGTAGTTTGATCTTTGATGAACAAAGAACTAACTGTCAGGTCTAATTTTTCACAGTCATATTAATTAAACACTAATATCATTTTTCGCAAATGTTAACTGTGTATCTGTGATATTAAACTTCTCAAAAACAGTAAACAATTAGTAATCGCTCGGTTGTTAACAGATCAGTTTATTGCACGAGATATAAAAGATTATCAAAAAAGACAACAAATTCTAGTTGTTTGGACGTCGTTATAGTGTAATATTATTTATTTGAAAGTATATCTAACAGTCAAAGTAGTTTTGAAGAATAAATGTGCCTTAAACCTTAGAACTGTGGTCATATACACAAGAAGATTAAAAAGAAAGACATAATTTTGTAAACATTTCTAATTTTATTGCTGAAATATTTATAGTTGATTGATGCATACCATCTTGTCTACTGTTTAATCATGCTTGAAGTCCTATATCATATAAAATAAGCACATTTTAATGTTCCACAATACATGTATTCCTCGAACTTACGGTTGCGTTTGACTCTGTCGATCGTGAGGTCCTATGGCAGTACCCCTCATTGAAAGGAGTTTCAAAAAGTATATTAACCTTATACAGGGTCTCTACTCGAACACCATTGGTCGAGTGAGGGCTTATGGCGAACTGTCATCGGAATTTATTACCTCGAGTGGTGTTTGTCAAAGCTCTCTAATTTCTCAATTCCTATTCAACCTTTCCATAAGCATGCTTTTAGAGATAACACTGTCATCATCTAACTTTTCAGGAGTTGACTGGAAGACTCGTTTGTTGACTTAGAATATGTGGATGACATAGTTCTATTTGGTGAAGACGCCGACAGATTGTAGAGTCTTCTGACTACCCTAAGCAACAATGCAAGCATGTTTGGGATGCGAAATGCAAAATGTTACTTCAGGATTGGGTAGCATCGGCACCTGAACTAGTGATAGGGAGTGAAGTTGTTGAGCGTGTTGACCGCTTCACCTGTCTGAGGAGTCTTATCAGTGGTGATGGCCTGGTGTCTCATAAAATCTCAGAATAGGTGGAGAATGCTCGACTGGCTTTCCCCAGCTTGCGTCACTTGTGGCGTATGCGAAATATCCGTCTACTAACCAAAGGATGAGTTTACTTTGCATCAGTTCACCCCGTTCTGCTTTATGAGAGTGAAGCATGACCATTTATAATAGAGAATACTTCTAGGCTGCTAGTATTCAATCACAGGTATCTTCGAAGCACTGCTCGTTTATCCTGTGACCAACTAAGTGAACAATGCTGGGGTTAGAAAATGGTTACTGCGTAAGGATCGCAGATCAGTTGACGAAATATTGAATCTTCATCAGTTGAGGTGGTTGGAACATGTGTTACGTACGCTTAACCAAAGACTACGTTGACGAACAGTGCCGTCTGATCTAGCAGTAGGCTGGGAGAAAGCTAGCGGTTCTCAAGCGAAAACACCGTACATATCCATGTATTCATTGACAACTGATTGAGCCATGTTAAGAGGTTTAGACTACCGGGTTGGGATGTGCGAGACAATAGTAACCAGTGGTTAGAGACTTTGAGTGATATAGTTCATAATCGTTTGCTATAGCGCAGTCGCATCCATTGTTTGTCTTCTCTCAAGTTCTAATCTTCAGAATTCCCCATCAACGTTTTTCTCTTTTTAAATTTGTCTCACTGAATTAAATTTCTCGAATCATACCTACGATCCCTAATCCTTTTGACTACCGCTAAAACTTTTAACAATTACTAATGTGGTGCTGATGTGGTATGGCAACCTGAACTGATTCACGTACGACGTTGTAGCTGACTAATTGACTGTTACTTGCAGTTGTGAATTAGCTTTTAAACAATTTGCTTTTACTTCTACCATGTTCATTTGTCAACAGAAAATAACAACACAAAAATCTACGTATAATTTTGTTTGGTTATATTTTAAAAAATTTGAATATATTTTACTTTCATGTTTTATAGGCTGATATTATTAATCTCTCCCGAAAGTATGTCAAAGCTTTGGCTAAAACTCAGAATATGGGTCCTGACGATGCTTACAGCTCAGAGTTGACAGGATATGGTATGTATTTTACTATGTAGTTAGTAAATTATGAGTTTACTAACTTGACTGTCAATCTAATAAATGTCATATTCGTAATATATTTAATAAGTTTTTATTCTAAAAATCACCATTATCTCATCAAATAATGATAATATCTGATATGTATGTAAAATTATTCTATGGATTTAAGTTTTCCATGTATAAAAGCGTCAGTGTAAAATTTTCAGATAATAACCACACTGTCATCATATTATTTCTTCCATTTCTTAAAAGATGATAGATCTAATATGTTATGTAGAATTTGGGTCATCGATAAGGTAGAGGAATTGGTAATTCTCTTCCAGCGCTTAATATTTCGAACTGTAACGGCTCTAATGTCATTGAATACTACTACTGAATCACTATCATCAATCAAAAACCTTTTAAATCTACCCTAAAGTTTATGTTTGGTGTCGATTGGTTACATGAATCTTAGGTGTTTTATTTTTCTCAAGAATTTTATGAACTATAAACTAAAATTTTTCAACACGAAATAGTTACTTCGATTTAACTTTATGGATTGTGGAAAAAAGACCATTGGCAAAAATTTATCATTGAAAGGAGAGATAAAATTTTTGTTGTTGTGAAATATGTTCAATATATATGCCTTCAATCTCTTCTTAGCCTTACGAACAATCAAAAACTTATTTTTCTGAACGTATAATAAAGAGCAACTTCTTAGACATATTTTCCTTTGTCATTTTGAAGAGAGCAAGAACAAAGATTAAAACGAGATAACACGAATTCATTTGATTTCGTTTAGGTCTTGTCAGATGTTTATAACCCGAAATATATAATATCATAGTTACAAATTGTATTTAAATTACTTACATGAAATAGTTTGGTTGGAAGTTGTTATGATCTCACGTCGGTATAATATAACAAGGGTGTAAATAATTCTGATAGACTAATTAAAGGATTATGAATAGAAATAAAAACTCAATGATGTAATTAGTTGAATGAAAGATTTGAACGAAATTTTATTATATCATTAATAACCACCCGTTTTTGAACACATAAACAAGCTTTCAGGCGTCTAAGAGCAATTGCTTCAGCAAACTTCAGAAGAATGGAGCTGGGTTATTTATTGTAAAGTATAAACCTGATGTCCTTTATTCAAAAGATGTTTAGTGATTACACTGTTTAAAGTAGATCTCTTAGCAATATGTTCAAAAAATCTAAAGTGTGCCCTCCTATTTGGCCAATTTAGCTGCTTGGACAGTTATGCATAAATTTGTAGAAAAAGCTGTCAGTAATGTGAAAAGGTTTCTCGTCGACCTTTGGTCGGGCTATTTGAAATGTTTTATGCAGTGTTAAACCTCCTGTTCATTGTGTCTGCAGCATCATTTTTGAAGTTGAGATTTAAAAATATTGTTTTCTTACTGGCTGTAGTAGTCATGCCCGAGTTGTTTTCTTTAGATTTTTTAAATTTGTCAATAAATTTTTGTGAGTGGCGATTGTCTCTTTATCATTTTTCAACGTCTAGTTTATCAGAGGTATGTATCCTTACTACTTTATAAAATAGTGATTTGACCAATGCTTTCTTGTAACTGGTTGAATGAAAATTATCGAAATTCAAGTAAAAACCATTCCAAGTACTTTTCCGATAAACTAAACATTTCTGACTGTACGTAAGGCAAAGAGACTAAGTAAATCGTAATTATTTAACTCGATTAATAGTTTTATTTACCCGTTCACTGATCACCTCCATTAATATGCACCCTATTGATAGTCGGACTTATTAAAACTGCCCCTTATCGGTGTGACCTTTTTACTCGCGTTCTTTTGAATGAATACCAGATTAACTTAATGTGCTTGTTCTTCTTCAATTTTATGGTAAACTGAAATCTAGTTAGGCGAAATCTCTTCTTCAGCATTCTATATATGTTGCGTGTCTTCTATTTATTTTACTCTAGAAAGTACAATCACTCTTCTAAATCAAATGAAATCAAATTCGATTCAAAAATAGTTAATATTAACTATAAAATTTTCAGTTACTTACAGTTTCTTTTAAAAGTACTGTTAATCACTTTCACTAATCAATGATTAGTTAATTTCTTTCTCTCGTAAAACATGAGTTTTTTTATTGATTAAGATTTGATTGATTGTTTTGAAATTACCCTCAGTATGTAATTTTACTAGTTTTCAAGTATTAGGTGTGGTTCAAGAATTGAATAAATTTTAAAATGGGTGATTAGTTTTATTTGAACTTTGAGCCACTTTCATTTTTTCTACTTATTTTCAGACTTAAAGAAGACATTGGCCGTTATTCTAGACGATATGCTAGGTCGTATTGATCAGCTGGAATTGAAACTTTCAAATTTAACAAATTCATCTGAAGTAGTGTCTAAACAGTATTCTAAATCTATAAACTCAGCATCTATTGTAACTCATACTGCTCGAGGTTTGAAGAGCAATGATGAAAAATCAAGCTACAAAAAAATTAACTACTTAGGTAAACTCTTAATAAGTTCATAAGTTTGTTTTTACTTTGTATGATACTAAAAACCAATATTAAAAGTAATGATATGTTTAGTATATGTTTTAGCATATGTTTAGCATATATGTTTTAATGGGAACATAAACTATAAAGGAACAGTGAATTAGCGATAACGTCTACTTTTTCACCTATTTGGATCATTGATAGGACGTACTACATGAATTCAAGAAAATGAAATGTTCTGGACTGGACTAAGCCGGTTGAGAAAACATCTAAGAATACCAGTGTAAAACACGATATCAGTCAGTTCATGAGGTCAGCGACTACTTGCCATATCAGGAAGCAGGTTAGAGGGTCGATAACTTGCCGGACGGTTCTGTAGATTATTATTGTGTATAGTCTTAATGTATAATTATCCAGTGACTAGATTATACATATTCCTTTTATGATGATCTATTGATTAACATATGAACTACTGCTCCATCATTTATTATTCTTAACCTATTGCCAGTTGATTATTCACAGACTCCCCTATTCACAATCGCTTTTAGCTTGCTGATGCATTGATGTATTTTCTCATTCCACAGTGTGAAGTGGTCTAGTTTAGTATATAAACTATGTGTGCTTGAAATATAGCGAATTTTGTGGAAGCTGGCTACGGACTTCTGGACTAAGTGAGGGTAAAAAAATAGAAAGGAACTATTGCGTTGTGGACTAATAATTATTTAAATCTGACTAAAGGTTTTTGGTGCTAAACGTAAATGTGATTGGTGTTTTGTATTTATCATATAATATTAGCTAACGGTTGGGGGATACAATACTACTTGTATGTGTTATGTGGTCAGGTGTAAATCTGTGAATTGATATCCATGCGGTAATCGCTATCGTTATCTGCTTCGTAAAGTCTAACAGTGTTTGAATAAAAAAAAATCAAATCTGTAATTTTGTAAAATTTAGTGTGAGTTACGTTTTTTTTCTCATCGCCTTAATTTTCAGATCTTCTACAAGATGCACAAGAAAACTGTGTTGTTCAAGCCAGTGAATTACCACTGTATCCGGAATGTTTTTCAAAGATTGAGGTGAATTTCGTAGATATGTTTTTTATTCAATGATAAGTCAAGTTGTTTATAGTCTTATAATTTTAAGTAGGTAAATGACTATGTAATCAGCCATTGGATTTTTTGTAACGGAATAAATATTGTAGATTTTTACTGATTATAATGTTGTGAATTACTGAATAACTAGATTACTGCGTATTTCATTTATCGTCCAGACTAGTTGGTGACTTTTCAAATCAAGGGCAGAATATTCAGAGAGGCTTGCGAATAGTGCACTAATTGAAACTTAGTTGTTGACCAAAGGTTAATCGGGCTGGTCAGGTTTACAATCGTTCAAATCAGAGACACTAAGGTATAGAATGAGTAATAGATGCGAAATAGATCAAATTATAATCAGAATTCCGATTGGTGTCTTTTCACATGATATTGGTCAGAGATTCTGAAGATATGACGCTGTTGCCTAAGATAAAACAAGGTTGGTAGGGGGAGGTTCAATGGTTATAACCAAAACTTCTGAGCCAGCCACGCAGTTATTTTTCCTTAAAAATTGCTTCGAGGAATAAAGATCAAGGATATTTATGTTTGTCTACCGCTAAGTACAATTAAATCCTGATTCCTCAAATAGGTGTTCTCCAAAAAGTGGTGTTACTATCTTCTCTTAAGGTTCGCACTTTACAGACAAACGCTTTTCACACAGTTATTCTTTGGAAAAAAGTGGTCATTGTTTTCTCGTTTACTTCTGTGTTGTTGAGTATTTAATTGGTAACTTATCCCATATCTTCCATTATCAAAATGTTTCTTTTTTGGTTCATTAATGTACATTTCACTGTTCAACTTTGTTGAATCTGCGTTCCAGTGCTGAAATTCCAATATTTCTTTCGAAAGATGATAGAAAATTTATGGTTTATGATAGAATGTGTTTTCACATTAGTCTATTTGTTCGCTCTGGTGAACAAAAAAAATCATGTGAATCTATGGAGTGATTTATTTGGATCCATATTTATGTTCTGAAGTGTAACAAGCATATTGAGTTTTGAGAAATACACTATTTATCATATCTTTTTGTAATGTCGACATTTGACTCGCTTTATCAAGAATCTCAAAAGCTAGTTTATCCTCTGCTTTCATTAAAAAATATGACAGCTTCCAACATATACCAAGTATCGGGAAATCGATTACAATTATGAATATGATTCAATAACTTGATTAAACTTTATTACTGCCTCATCAAATGCAGTTCCTTCCAGTCAATCAAACTCATTATACAGTCTTGCAACAGACTGTTGACTTAAACACTAACAGAGATATCAATTCAATGCAAAAAACAAAAGTAGTGTGAAAAATGAAACTAGAATCTAGTCAAGAAACTGCTCAGTGTATCTTTCATGATAAAAGCATGATATCTGTTATCCTAAAATGTCCATCACACTGTAGTTATGTCATCTTAGTATATCTAAATATATTTATCATAGAGCACCTACTAATGTCAATTATGTGCTTACGATATTTAGGATTAGATTGATATGTATTTCGTCGATAATGCTGTACATTCAAATGAAATCACCTTTAACTATACATTTTGCATAGATTTTATACTTGACATTATTCAGAACTTTATCATCACAAATATTCCTTTTAAAATAATTCATGAGCCGTTTCTGTTCAAACAATGTACTCTAATTTTCCTTAATGATGCCTGTCCTTTTGCGTCTGCCTGATGATGCCTGTAAATTACCGTGCATTCTGTAACCGTTTCAAACATATGTTATCATTACTATCACTGCTACTATTAGTATATAGTTCCCAACATTTGGTTAACCTTATCACCGTTTACATATGTTCCTTGGTTTGTACTAAATTTACAAAGCTCAATACTATACCGAGTTATTGTTTTGCATAATAATAATTACTTGCCAGTCAAAAACTAGCCTATTTCGTGATCATTAACAAGTTTGATTTCCTCCTAATCATGTTGTTCCGTCTTCTAAGCCTACTGCTAACATACAATCCCAAAACCATCTACTTAAGTGGAAAGGATGTTTTATTGATTGAATTCAAATTAAGTCATAGATATAAATATTTCTTCCTCAGAAAATAAAGCCAAAATTTCAGCAATTGGTTTCTTTCATCTTCAGAAATGGAACCAAATCATAGTCGATGACTCGCAGTGATGTTTAGGCCTATATATTATTGCTGTCCTCAAGGTTTGACTTGATCATTTCCATGGTGAAGACGCTGACAAAATGCAGAGTCTTCTGACCACCCTAAGCAAGAATGCAAGCATGTTCGGGATGCGGTTCTCACCCTCGAAATGCAAAATGTTGCTTCAAGATTGGGTTGCATCGGCACCTGAACTAGTGATAGGGAGTGAAGTGGTCGAACGTGTAGACCGCTTCACTTATCTTGGGAGTCTCATCAGTGCCGATGGCCTGGTGACTGACGAAATCTCGGCACGGATACAGAAGGCTCGATTGGCTTTTGCCAACCTGCGTCACTTATGTACGAACTGAAGCGTTACAAAAAGTGTTAATTGCCTTTTTATATGCTTTAATTCTTTATTGTCTTAAGACGCTGGTGTTCTTCTGTTTCATGATGGTAGTTTTTTATTGATCGGTTGATTGTACGAAGTACTTTTACTTTGTTTCTTTTGTACCAATTAAACTTGGGTTGATTTAATTCGTTTATTTTTTCTCTGAAGAAGTGGCTTACATTGAGTGACAAAAGATCAGAAAAAATTTAATTTTTCTACTCATTGGGATTCGCTAAATATATTATTTTTTTATTATATCTTATTGGTTCAACATATCACTTATCATGCTAAATGTATCTCTGTATCCGATTAAACGTTTCCCGACTAACATTCAACAATTAACTGTGTTTTACTGATATGAGACAGTAATTTGTAAGCAATTTTCTTCTTACTGTTCAGCTCACAGTTATTTTTCCTTAACTATTAATAACTTTCATGTTCACTCATGTTCGCTAGTCAATTACTGGTTGATTATCAATTTCATTTATCTGGTTCTTTGTGCTAATCAGCTACCATCGATGAAGCTACAATTTTGTCACTTAGTTCATTGATAACTCGGATTAGTGATCCAATAACTTGTTGACACTAGCTAACCATCCCCACACTCAAGGATCTCATTGATTGTCTCCAACCTATCAACGTTCACTTACCTGTAATAAAATAAAATTCTCCATCAAAATCAAATGACTAAGTAAATAAAATTTGACATTCTACTTTTCTAGTGGTTACGAACCCGTTGGGGAACTCATTCATGCTATGTTGAATTAGGAATCGATGGATCAGAATGTTCCTTTGTTCGATATCTTAGTGAGGTAAGTTTTGTATTGGATAATTTTGTTTCTGAATTTAAATAACATGGATTTATTCTTCAAGCATCTTGATTTGTCCACTAAAGTTATTTGGTTGAAAAAGGACTGATTGATGTACTCCAGTTTCAACCTGATCAGAGTATGTAGTAGTCAGGATTCTATTCTGCTAACAAACACTGAGATTCACATTTAATTAACAAACTTTCCTCTATAGCAGAATGTTTAACCTGTTATGATGTGTTAAATCATTTTTCTCACAGACAATTATTTGATTCAGTTACATGTTATTGTTAGCTAACACTCTATGAACTCCTAATCAGAAATTAGATTTAGTTGTATGTTTTTAGATATAGTCGTTAGCTAAACAATGACTTTCTTAGGTGACAAAAATCTCTGGATGGATGTGTCAATAATATCCACATACATTCGAACTTTTACTAACCCAAGATCTGACTCCAATTTTTACAAATGATCGAATATACTATGAAGTATATCTTCCATCTGGTTTCCATATATCATTCTTAAGCGAACTCCCGTTTGTGCGACTACATTTATTAAAGGCCCAATACGGTTTTGTGGATGAGTTTATTTCGTACATTTGGTATGCAAACGCATATAAGAATGGAAATCGTGAAATTTAAGCGAAACAAAGTAAAGCGGAGAAGGTGAGTGGGCCAACTCAATGTAAGGAGGCGTTATTAAGTATTTATAGTCAGCCATGTGGTAAGTGCAGTAAACGCTGCACACACTAAGACCATAAACAAATAATTGACAAGGTCAAAAGACGTATGAATAGTTAGTCGGGGAGATAAGGTTCAATAATTTTTCCAAAAGTTAGAACAAACCATTTGTGCTTAACGTATTAGTTCACACACTACAAACTAGTCTCGAAAACCAACCAACTAAACAGTAATCATGGGCTTATTAATAGCTTACTAATTGTAAGCACCCTAGTGGAAATTCATGACTGATAGAGTTCAATCGTAGAATGGGAATGAGGCGGGGTAGCTGATGATATCGAGTAAGAATTGACTACTAAATCCTAACTCAATTGTCTACAAGTGCTACAATCTTTGTGAGATTTGGTGTTCAACTTCTTGTAGGGTCAGAGGTGATGAACATAACGTATGTTGTCCAAATTAGGACGAAATAATTGCCCGGTGCTCGCCGATTCTGAATGATACTTCATTCAGTTTGTGAAAAAAAGCTATTTCAAGATATATATGATAACTTTTTGATTCATGATGATTATTGTTCTTTATAAAAGTTGTAAGTAATTAGAGATTGCTCTGAGATTTTTTTGTCATTTAACTATCATCACTTTGTTTCATATGATTCTGAGCTTTTCCAAAAACTAAATCAACAGCAGTTCTATATTTCGCTAATTGCGATATGTGTTATGAGTTTTTTTGGGTTGTAGCTGCCGCTTGACAGAGTGGCCAAACATCTATGTTATGACGACCCGTTCGGGTTATATTAGCTGGAACTTTTATTCCTTTAGCTCTTATGATTCTAGTCAGTTCGTTTGAAGTTCGATATGATTTACAGCTACAAACGGAAGTCCTAGGGTGATCTCGCACTAGATAGTGACGGCAGTTAGGTTTCAACCTCAAAAAATCTGCATCTTCAATATATACTGCTTTTTTACAACGAAAGGAAGAGTTAAATTAAGATGTACCTTACAAAATAATACATCTCATTTCACCCCATGGATTTCCGTTCCAACCTATTGGTGTATTTAATCTATTTCTAACCACGTGCATCAACGATCGTCATAGTTTACAGTTGCCTTTCAACCAAAAAGTATCTTTTAACCCAACTATTCTTGTTGAAAACTTGTTGATATTATAACCAGAGTCTACCGATTTAAAACTAGTGACAATTATTCGTAATAATGCGCGGCGCCTGAGATCTGAATGTAATGCATGCTAACCCCCCCCCCCCCAAACTAGCTACTTGAGCGAGAAGGCAAAAGTAGGAGATGGAGCCTATTTGGTAACCGAATAATTTACATCATCACTCATATATTTCTACTCCTAAGAAAATGGATCGATTTCTCGACCAATGATATGCATACGATCCCCAGGATACTCTGGACTGTCATCAAGTGATCTCATTTAATCACTTCTGATGAACTCACTACACCCCGTACTTCAACTTTTTTCCACAAACAGAACACTATAGTAATTAATAATTTATTCAATGTTTAAGTGGTTATCTGCATCTAACTTTGGATATGTATTCAACTGTATACAAAATTTTTTTATTAATATTTTCACACAGGTTTACCTTATCAGTTATGTAATTTATTCATCAAATATATTGTAGCCAATATTTGCATAATACTTCTATATTTCACCGATGTTTTGCTTTAGTTAATTTATACATAAATCCTGTTGGACATAGTTAGTCTGTGACCAACTGTCTCTAGTGTGTATGTGTGTGTACCGTGATGATGTTTTGGAAAGAATTAAAGGTTTTTCATTCATTTGTAAACTTTGTTCTTATTCAGGTAGAATTGTACCTGTGAATAGTATCACATACTTGAGTATTGTGTACTGGATAGTGTGTAATTTTCAACGCTAACAATACTATACGTATCTGGATTGGAAATTTTTGAAAAAATAGCTCCAATATTAGTTTAGCACTTTTTAAACCTAAAAGTTTTAAAAATATGAATTATGTGGTTTGTCCTGCTGAGTTTTCGTAAAAGGTAGAAATAGTCTAAAAATAGTACTTGAAATAAACATCACTTGACAGGCACATGGATGTAAATCTAATGGGTGCCTTATTTGAAAGGGGTTATATATAATGTAATATAATGTAATTTTTTTCATTCCATCTACACATTTTTTAATACTCTATTTACAATTATAATATAATCATGTACTTTGTATAGCTTAAACAGTTAATTTATTCACAGTTCAAATCACTAGCAACGTCGGAAACCTGCAATTACTGGGCAGCTGTTTCGTTCTAGTATAGGACTTGTCAGCAAGTTCTCATCCACGAAATCGAACATGTGAATCAAACTGAAGACATTCAGTCTCGTTAGCGAATGCTTAATCTTAGGACGACTGAACCAGTATCTAACAGTGTTAATGTCTAGTTTCATTTAGTCCATGGTTTTGCGTAACCAATCTCCCACCACAGGCAATGAGTTATAGGAATGATAGGTGGAACAACGGAAGTCCTAGGGTGATGTCGCACTGTGTTGTGACGGCAGTAAGATGTTGACTTCAAAAAATCAGCATCTTCAATAATATCGCTTTTTTACAACGAAAGGAAGGGTTAAGCTAAGATCCACCTTAAAAAATAATGCATCTCATTTTGCCCCATAGATTTCCGTTCAGTCTGTTATCAACGGAATAATGATGAAGAGTAATTATTGTATTGATTATAAATAAAAAGAAGCCGCTCAGCACAGGCCAGTTCCTCCACACCGAATGGGAATTGCAATGCTTTCGCATGCACTCCTCAATCCGGCTGGACGATCGGACAGGGAGGCGGCCGAGTCCGCACGAACAGACCTCGTAGGAAGTCAGCCAGACGGACAGCCACACACCCGCTTCACGCTCAGGACTAGGCCGCACTGATCATCATTGCGGCTGGTTGGCCACGGTTAATCTTTAGACGACTGAACCAGTATCTAATGGTGTTAATGTCTAGTTTCATTTAATCCATGATTTTGCGTAACCAATCTCCTACCACGGGCAATGAGTTGTAAAAATGATAGATAGAGCAACTACGGTGTTTATTGTATTTCCCTTCATATCTATCCTTTAAAAAAAACTATTGCTGAGTCATCTTTATCATCAGTAAATAAATATTACTGAAATATGATTATATTATTATTATTATTATTATTATTATTATTATTATTATTATTATTATTATTAACATGACCATATGTTACTTACTACCACTTACTATGATTTCTCACTTATAAAAACATATTTTTATTAAAGTTGATCTGCTTAATTGGGTTTTTTTATCCATTTGACCTCTCTTTAATAGCGTTAAGGAAAATTTAAAAGCTGTAATGAAATGTTTTTTTTTCCCAATAAATCAATTTTAAATCTTTGAGGGTTTTTTAAAACTTTAGTTTTCATATACCATTTTTTTTAATTATCGAAATAGGTTGAAAGTTTTTGCCCAAAGTTGGATAGCAGAAAAGTTTTGAAACATCGTAGTGAAGCTCAGGTATAAATTGATGTACATATGTATTGATTATTTTCATTTCTGTTATTATGGTTAATACATCATTGCCTTCATATAGTTGGAGCCATTGGTAGAGACCTGAGTCCAATCAAGTTGTTTCATTTCATGATAAAAGCTGTATTTTGTAGGGTTCGTCACTAAGTACGCTTGAAGCTATTACAAGTTCACCTTGGTCGATAAACGCGCACGAGACAATTACCAGCGTCCAGGTAGGCTATCTTGAATCCCAAGCTGAAGATAGAAGACTTTGTGAGCGTAGAAAGTATATTCTACAAACACCCAGCAATCACAATACAATCAAGCACACAACTCTCGTTTATTTATACATCAGAGAAACGTCCTTGGGACAGTTACGAAAATAGCACACTAAAATACACAGCAGCCAATCACAGCCATGGATTTTGCTGGTGGGAAATGAAATCTCAAGGTCAACTGATCAGCGCATGCTGGGAAACGTGAAATCCAAAATAAGGCATTTAACAAGCGAGTTTTAGGGATCTAACATCCCCAACACATAACATCATCAGCTCGTTTATCAATCATAAATCAGATAATAGTATTCGGCATAATTTTGATGTATTATGTACTAAACAGTATTAATTATTCTAAATTGAATACTGCCATTTAGAAAGTCTGATTCATCATAGACTAGTTCTTTTATCCTGACAAATATTTCTGTTGAAATAATGAATCGATTGTTGTTAGACCGTTTCGTCCTGATGTGGAACTCTTCAGCAATGTATAAATTAAAACAATCTCTGTAATTTTATAATGAAAAAATATTTCAATAGTTAAGATTAATCTTAATATCCTATTCACTATGTTCAACTTTTTGCACGTGATAATAATAATTACCCAACTCTATGGAAATTACTCCTTGGTTCTATAGTTTACCTCAAAATGTCTGTTTGCACTATGAGTATGGATTCATTTCGTGTTTATTTTTTTCTGTACATTTGTTCAGTGATTGACGTGTATTCATTAAAAATTATAGTTAGAATATGCGGAGTTTCAACAGACGGTGTCCTTTAAGGTTAATGTGTAACCATAGCACGGATTGTGAACAAACTAAAACCTTAGTTTATTTATTTCAAAGAGATTAGTACTGATTGACACTTTATTTATTTAACACTTCACGTCAATTTTTGTTTGGTTCGTATTCATACTGGATTCATTTTAAAGGATTAATTTGTATTACTACAATGTTAAACATCATGTATTGTGTTGTTGTTTGATATCGATCATTTGTTTTTTAATACCTATCTTCTTTTTTCTTAGATAACTCGTAATCTTGATGGCTTACTTGCCATAATTTCTTCAATTAAAAATCATTTACCATCAAAATCATTTATACATGCACGATTAAAACGTATGTGGCCTGATTGGTTAACTGGTATTCAACATTATATAAATGGTGTAAATTTCCTACAAACTAATGCATTGAATGATTGTAAATTGTGTTTGCCTAATAATAGTAACAATAATAATAATAATAATAATACAACTTGTATGGAACTTTGTCAATCATCTACCAGACGAATAGGTCAACCATTTTTATTTAAAAGACCAAAACTCAATGTAAGTGTATTTGTTTGTGATTATTGTGTTAGTTAGTATTTTTGGTGATGAATCACATTGTATTATTTGTTTTTGTTACAAAATTTATCAGTAATTGTAATGAATAATTTAGATTTTGAATGAAAAATAATTTTCATGTTACGTAATGGCTGGTATTTATTTAGCTTATGAAATAGGATAGTTTGTTTTAAAAACTAACCATTAAACTGTTAGTTGTATTATTGTATATTGTAGTGAGTCATCTAATTTCAATTTCTGTCTGGTGTACAGTATCTTGTTTTTTTATTCAATGAAATTTACTAGCAACGTGGTTGAAATGTTTAAAAAAAAGTTGTTGAAGATAGTAGTACATTGAAAATTGAACTAGTTCAATAGATAAACAAACAAATTAGTTTTTTTTTTCATATTTGACTCTTGTCTATTTAGACAGATGATGCATGATTGTCTATATATGCTAATTTATAGCCTCAATCACACACACACTATCTCTCTCCCTCTCTCTCTATATATATATATATATAAGTTACATTAGACAGGTAGAAATTAAATTGTTACATAAGTTACAATATTTACTTGTAACAAAAATTGAATTATTCAATTTTTTTGAATGAATGAATGCGTTATTATGATGAAAGTTTTTTTTCATGCATCCATATAAAACCATTGAACATTGATCTTATCCTTCGTTTTTTTTTGTTTTACTTATTCACTGAATTTCATTCGTATTTATTTTCCAATAGATTCTACTTCATATGGGATTGTTATCGAATGATTTTCGTAGGAATTTTTTCGAATCATATATTTCTAAAGGTAATTATTACTATTGATGTTTATTGCTCTTTAATATCAATAAAATAAGATGAATTGAATTGATTATCAGCTATATTGTATTTTTTTCTATGATTTCAACCTTTTTGTTTAAGTCGTTAATAGTGATTGTAAAATAAATAGTTTTTTCAACTATTTCGATGATGCATAATGTTAGCTGAATTGATTGATTTACCGAGTATTTTGTGTTTCATATGTGTTTAAGGAAAATTGGCGTAGATTTCATTTCTATGAATTATTCATCAATATAGTTTATTTCTATGTCAAATTTATCCAATTTGTAATGTCATTTAAAAGTTTTGTTAGGATATTCACCAAATATCCTAAGAGAATTATTTGGAAGTCTGATTCTATTGGTCAATTCCTATTGGTTTATTCCTATTGGCCGTCTTAACTATCAATGTCATATACTTCAAATGTTGTTTCCTATTCGACCTAATTGTATAAATATGCATAATCTGCAACGTTTGTTAATCCGGATCCTTGGTCCATGATCCTTATCCTCATCTGGACTCGGACGGCGTACTTTCTGGGTCTCCGTATTACGTTATGGCTGTGAAACATGGCCAGTGAGAGTAGAAGATATTCGTAGGTTAATGGTTTTCGATCATAGGTGTCTTCGAAGCATTGCTCGTATATCCTGGGACACCCGAGTGAGCAACGCTGTTATTAGGAGACGGGTGCTAGGTAAGAATGGCAGATCAATAGATGAAGTTATGAAACTTCATCAGTTGAGGTGGTTGGGACATGTGCTGCGTATGCCTAACGACTGACTGCCTCAACGAGCTTTGTTTTGTAGTGTAGGAATAGGTTGGAAGAAAGCTAGGGGCGACCAGACCAAAACATGGCAGAAATCCATGAAGTCTTTGACGAGTGGACTTTGCCATGTCGGTAGTTGTCGACTACCTGGTTGGGGTCCGCGAGATGATAATAATCGATGATTAGAGACCTTGAATGACATGGTTCAAAATCGTTCGCAATGGCGCCGTGGATTTATTCTTTGTGTTCTCTCAAATACTAATCTTCTGGATTCTTCAACACTTCTAGTTTTCTCTTTCTAAACTTATCTCACTGAATCATACCTCTTGAATAATATCTTCTAATCTTAACCTCTCCGATTACCTCCAATACCTTTACTACCTCTACTACTATTGGATTTGAATTGACAATTACATCTCTTTGCTAATGTGGTATGACAACATGAACTGATGCACTTATGTGCGAAGTTCTGCGTTGCATTTGACTGACTGACTTTCTGGGTGTTTGTAGAATACATTTTCTACATCATATCAAGTCTTCTTCTTCTTGTACTCAATGAGGGTTTGGGATGCTCTGATTAGAGTATAAGCCTGTTGTTTCGCCGTGTCATCGATCCTCTCTCTCATTTACCGACTAACGTGAACTTGTAATAGTTCAAGCGTATCAACTGATGTGTTGACCTGCATTCATAACAATTTTATATTTTCCTATATCTCTAAAAATAATAACTTATACAAACTGGATAAGAGAATGTGATTTGATTATGTAATGAAATGACTACTTTCCAATCATCGATTATCAAATAGATTAGTGTATATATTCCATTGAAATTGTATATTTCTTTATTTATAATTATTTAAAAACAATTTTTTTAGGTGGTCCTCTTGGTGAACTTGTTCAATGGACTGATCTTATTGGTGCCCTCTACATACTTGGACATAACTTAACAATTACTTTTGAAGCTATCGAAGCAAAATTGTAAGATTATAATTTATGATGTGTGATACGTTATTAGTTGATTAAATCCAAAGAAATTTAAGTGATCTATTTATTATTATCTATCTAATGGTTTTCATACTCATTAACTTAATTTTAACACAGACAATGTCAGATATCATCATTTGAGTGAAAACAGTCAGTTCTATGATGATTGACATTTTTTCCGGAGGGATATTTTTTCAGTTTTTAAAATATCATTGAATTGATCATACATATCTATATAAATAACATAAACCTGGAATTAATTATAATTGACCTCTTAGTTTTTTTTTTTAAATTAATGTTTTTAGTAATCTTGTTATTATTTCATTATATTAATAAATAAATCATAGATTGTTACAGATGAAAGAATAATTTTCATAGATTCTTAGTCAAGTAACAAGCGTTTACTTCATTTTTTGTTGTTGCTTATTTCAAATATGTTATATCAGGGTGTTAGATTTACATCAGTCAATTTTTGTGATCATATAGCTGCATTTTTAAATGATACTATACTAGGCTACGATAAAATTATGTTTGACATCACATCATTTCTTTTATGTATTTTATCATACAATGTGGCGAATTTCATTGTCTTTAGGGCATGTGTATTCTTTAAGATAAACTATTTACTAGATTGAAATTCATAAGAATGGTACATTAACTGATATGATTGAGTAATCAGTTCTTATTTTACAAAAAACTTTGTACTTGAATAGGGAAATGCACTGAACATATTAACACATACATTGTCATAATCTGTGTACAGCCTGACACGAATATGCACTAGCCCAAAACTATCATACTAATTTAACACTACGTAATGAAGTTAACAAATGAGATTCATAGTGAATTCGAAATAATGAAGTAACTAAAGTAATTGAGAAAACTAAATATTCATAATATGGATCAGAAAGATGGAGTGAAATTTTTTTATTTACATCAGGCAGTCAGTCAGTTACAACGTAGAACTTTGTGTGTACATACATCAGTTCAAGTTGCCATACCACATTAGCACAAAGATGCTATTGTCACTTCAAATCCCAGAGTGGTGGAGATAGTAGAAGAATTGGCGGTAACACATAGCTGTTATGTTGACGTCGGGGTCGGACTTGCCGATCGTGATGACCAGTCGAGCTGTATTGTCTGGAACATATGTTCCTGAAGATTCTACCATGCCAGACAGGTCGATTGGAGAGTGATGAGACTAAAAACAGCTACTCAAGGTCTGGGAGGAGGAGTACTGCTGGCTGCAGAGGGTTGTGACAGCAGTAAGGTGTTTCCCTCGGACAACCAGCATCTCCAGCGATGCTGCCTTTTCACAATGAAGGAAGGGGTTGGCAAAGGTAGACTCTAACATTGTCACTCCTCGCCTTACCTCACTGATTTCCGTCTTCGGCGGTAAGGCCTTTGAAAAAGAACAGGGCTAACACTTCAAAAACCTCTAATAAAAAGGCTGTATGTAACCGGCCTGAAGCAGTTGTCCCTTGAGTTCTGCGGTCACGCACCCAGGTCTCTTAGACCAACACTAATCTGTCTTCCTTTTCAGGTTCCTCAAGAAACATCCTTCCATGGTGTGGGCAGCCGGGAAGTGACGTCCTCCCTCATACCCGTCACAGCACACGAGACCAAATCGGTTACAATCAAATGCTTCTTAACCCCCCTCCCAAACATTAATTTTCATCTGTCCCAAACCTATATTAATTGATTTCTTTACTTGCTTTTTCTTTATTTTTCTAATGACAATCAACAGAAAACTTCTGCATCCTTACTCATCTTCCGTACCATGTCAGGTAGAAAGCAATAAATACGATTTAATCTACACAGATGTTATGGGATTTAAAAATTTGAAAAGCATGAACGTTCGGTTAGTTTCTAAATTTATAATCGATCAAATCTATTGCTTAACTTAAATTCAATCAAATCTTATCGTTTTGTACATATTCTATTAATGAAATTGAAGTACGCTCCTCTTATTTTCTCCCTGATTAAATAAATAATATTGTTTTACTGTTCTAGATCAAGTTGTATGTATAACTACTGTGTTATTATTAAACTGGGATATATGCGACAGTTAAACTGTTGTTGATTTTTGTTTCAACAATAAGGTCTTCATTATAGTGATAACTTTTAAAGCACATTGAATGATAATATCATTAGTTATTGAGAATAAGAAATAATATAAATAGTAGTCGGTACTCATCTCATTTATGTGTTATCATCCTATGATTGAAGAAGATCACTAAAAGATTCTTTAGTAAGTGAAGATAAAGTATTTTCACAACGCTATTGTATATGTCTGATCATATATACTTGCGCTTGCTACCCCCAGTGGAGTATAGGCCGTCGATCAACATTTTCCAACCTACTCTATCTTGGGCCTTCCTTTCCAGTCCTATCCAACTGTTGTTTGTTCTTCTCATGTCTGTCTCAATTTCTCGGCTTAATGATATCTTTAGGATGATAGCTTTGGTAGTTCTCCAATTTTCAGCTCCTTACAGAGTAGAACTGTATCGACATTTGTATTGAAAAGGGTGACTTTGATGTTGGTTAATACCTCTTTTGAGTTCTAGATGTTTTTCAATTGTAAAAATGCTATCCTTGCTTTGTCGATCCGCACCTTCACATCACAGATCCACCCATGCTCATCACTAAGTCCTCGATCGCTCCATCTAGTGTAATTTAGTTGGTGTGGTTTGTGTTTTCGCTTTTTATTTGCCATGTTCGATCATAACTGACATGTATAATTATCAAATTTTCCTCACTCGTTATGCAAGTCATCTAATCGTCGTCGTTGTCTTACTTATTATTAAAGCTTACTATATTTTCATCATTACTCAAGTTATACTTTTTGATTAGAGTGTAGGGTTTCTGCATTAATGATGTAGTTTTTTTTTCCATGTGATCTTATATAAAGTTTATTCAACAATGATGAGGAATACAGTTCAGTTTAGAATAAGGAAAGATCACTAAAAGATAAAACAGTATTTTAATGATTCTTTGATGGAACTTAATTAATAATAAAAACTATTTTCAATTGACAATTCGGTTTTTATTATACAGTTATTAAAACCAATATCCCTATTTGCTCCTAACGTGAATTCTTGATATCGATCAACTGATTATTCTTATGGTCATATTATATTACCATAACTTTAATAAAACTGCCTTTAAATAGAAAAAAATCCGCAGGAATAAACCACTAAATTAAAAAAACGTGAAATTTCTTCCAGATCACTTTTCTGAGTTACAAATCTTCTTTATCATCTTGATATCATAGAACAATTTACAAAATAAGCAGTGAAACATCTTATATCTACTAAGCACTTAATATTAATTCATTTTGCATTTTAATTTCTTTAAATTTAAGGATTCCCTTATGTAAATTTCGTATATTGGATACATTTGGAACTGAAGCTCTTTATAATCGTAAAAATGAACCTTGGGGTGGATTACATTTGAATTTACAGCAATTTAATACATTTTTCCGTAAGTTACCTATTGTTTCACATTTTATTTAATGTTGCATTCTAATGTTGTATGATAATACCGCTGCTATTGATGGAACACTAAGATTATGACGAACATATGCATCAAATCTAAGAAAAGAGAATTCTGTCATGGTGGGGAAAATTTGTAGCTCAGGTGGATGACTGTGGTGGTGTTTCGTTCTGTAAGCTATATGTTTTGGTTGTGGAGCTTGAAATATTCGAATTTCTCCACGTTTGACCTATAGCTTGTTCTGTTAACCTCGATCTTGATTGATTGCTGTTGACCTTAAACTTGTCGTTGTTTGCACCTTTGTTTTGATTGTATCCCCCTTTCCAAAATTGTGGAAAATACTTTATAGGACAAAGTAGACGTCCTCTTCAGCTTCGTTTACGTGAATAACAATTAGCAGTCAAATGTCACGACATTTCTTTGCTTATATCAATGCATATAGACAACTATGGACATACGTTCGATTGAAACAGTGTGGAAATACTAGATGGGGGAGCACAAAGAACACTAGGGGATTTTTTAGAAGCTTGACACTCATGTCATTCAGCAATTAATAAACACATTGACATTGACCCAATTTATCAACCAATCAGAAAAATTATAGGTGACATAGGATCAAGAAACAGATCAAAAGGGGGATACAATCAAAACAAACGTGCAAACAACGACAAGTTTCAGGTCAACAACAGCCAATCAAGATTCAGGTTAACATAACAAGCTACAGGTCGAACGTGGAGAAATTCTAATGCTTCACTTCTGTCTGAAGTTTGTGCTGATGATGTTCTGAAGAACAATCAAAGCTCCACATCTAAAACATCCAGCTTAGAGAACGAAACACCGCCAGATTTTTGCCAAGTTCAAGTACTATGATTCACCATCTTACATTTAGCACGATAAGAATTGCTACCAAGCATGTAGGTGAATCTGTCAGCGTATAGAAAGTGAAACAAAATAAAACAGCCATAATTTCAATCAGATTACATAGTACAAAATTTCTATATCATGGATTATAATAATGTAAATGAGCGAACAATACTGTTGTCATGTATGTATGCTTTTCATAAATGCATATAAATATTAGAGTAAAGCCTGATGAAGATTGAATTGAAAACAATCTTATTCGCCTATATATTTTCTTCAGATTACATACAATTAGTTGTAGAACTTACATCTCACTTGTAGTATATGCTAATAGGTCGAGGCCACCTTTGGATAAACTAATTAATTCATTCTTCTCGCGTTATTATTTATACATCTTTTGACCTTGTCAATTATTCGCTCATAACTTTGGTTGTTTTTATTTATGTATGTACATTGGTTAGTTAGCATGTCATATGCGTTGCGTATTTTTGTTTGACTATAAATACTGAGTTATGCCTCAGTGCGTTGAGTTGATCCACTCGCCTTCTCCGCTTCCTTCTGTTTCGCTTCGATTTTACAGTTCCCATTCTTATGTTTGTCTACTTACATGGATATGTATGAGATAAATTCATTCAAAATAAACCTTATTGGGCTTATAATAACCGCCATCACACAAACGGAATAATATGCAGAAATAAAACGAAAGATTTTTTGTATTAGAATTATTAATTGTTCATCTGAAATGGCGTCAGACCTGGTGCCACTAAACACTATAAAGTAAAATGCATTTATGTGAAGTTAACAAATAATAAATCAATAATATGGGGAATTTATGGCGATTATAATATTTTCATATTTTAAACTACCATCGAAAACCTGAAAGTACTGTACGGCCATTTCGTCCTAGTATGAGACTCTTCAACAGTGTGATGAATAACTGATTGCGCAAAATCATGCATTGAATAAAGTTAGACATTAACACTGTTAGATTTCAGTCGCCTAGAGATTAAGTGTTCATGAGCGAGACTGAAGGTCTTGAGTTTGATTCTCAAGTTCGGAGTCGTGGATACGCACTACTGACAAGTCTCACGCTAGAACGAAATAGTTGCCTAGTACTTTCGAGTTTCCAAGGTTGTTCTAACCAAAATCAGCTCGTGATTTCAACTGTGAATAAATTAAATTAACTGCTTAAGCTTTACAAAGTACAAGTTCATAAACGTAGTGAAATGAGGAATCATTGAAGACCTACAGCCAAGATTTAAAATGACACATATTAAGTAGTTTTTATATCCGGAGGAAGATAGAAGAAATGGTAACTCCTTAGATTCATTTCTGGATCATTATTCTACACATATTCTCATTGTATGGTCATTAAATAACTAGAGTGTTTCATTTTTACATTTCTTTTGTTATAAGCCGTCGAATAATGACCCATTAACTACTGTAGCATGATTTATTTTTAATCTACTGACAGGCAGTTTATCATTCACAATCACTTTTAGCTTGCTGATGCATAGATGTATTTCCTCATTCTATGGTGTGATGTGATCTAGTGTGTTTTACATATAAACTATGTTTGCTTGAAATATAACGAGTTTTATGGAGGCTGGCTACAGACTTCTAGACTGAGTGAGGATAGAAAGAAAGAAAGATACTATGGAGTTGTAGACCAATCATTATTTAGTTCTGACTGAAGGTTTTTGGTGCTAAACATAATTGTGATTGGTGTTTTGTATTTGTCACATGATAATGGCCAAAGGTTAGGGATACAGCAGTAGTAAAAAATGGTTTAATAGAATGAAATATAGATCGTCGTAATAATGAATATTATTTCGAATAATTCAAGAAATACAAAAGAGCTGTTTGGATAAAGGCAGGCAGTAAGAAAGTAAAGGTAGACTAGATCAAATCGGAATCGTGAATTTAGGAGAAGTTTCGTTATGTGAATATACCGACTAACTTGTACAATACTGTTAATTGTTACCATAATTTTGCCTTTATTCAGACTTACGTTTAATCACTACAAGTTTATTTCAACCCACATAATCTTCACACCAACCGATTGTTTCTTATTATACATTTAATTCACTTTGTGATTTGTTCAGTTTAATTTCTCTGTTTCCATGCTGTTAGCTCATTCACCTGACAATACATTTTTGGGTTTTGTTGCTGAATTACTTCCGTCTAACAATAAATCCTTCAATCAGACATCATCTAAACCTATTGCTCTTGTCTATGGAAAAGAGGCTTATATGTGGGATGTAAGTATTCATTCATATAATAACCATTAACTCATTATATGATAATTAACTAGTAGAATTTTCGATAGTGGATTTCTTTCAATTGAATGATAAGTAACTGAAAAATTCTACTGAAAGCCTATTTAATTTTAACATTATTTACGCCCTGGATACATCATATGTCAAAAGTGCCTGAAAAGACTCCTGTGACTAAATACTTGCAATTTAAATCATTCTGGGCATTTAGGTAGATATATGAAATGATGGAAAATACTTATAGCTCAAACGAATGGTTTGACGGGAATTTCGTTTTCTGGACTGAGTAATTTTATTATAAAGCTTTCATTATTTCTTTGACCATCATTAGCACAAAATTCAAATAAGAATGAGCTATTCGAAATTCACCATTCATAACTATTAACTTGTTTCATCAAGAATAAATTTCATTGCAATCATGAATCGATCAATGTTAGACAACTATTAGAAACGTTGAAGCCCTGGACGGCCGTTTCGTCCTAGTATGGGGCTCATCAGCAGTGCGCATCTACGACTCTTTGTTGGGGACGTTAAATCCCCATAACTCACTTGATCAAAGTCCTAATGTTGGATTTGTTATGTTTTTGCGCATAAGTTGCCCATTTGACCTTGAGATTACACTTCCCACTCGGAAAATCCTTGACTATCATTGGTGGATGTGTTATTTTAGGACGCTATTTTTGTGACTGTCACAAGGACGCTTCTGTGATGTATAAATAAGCTCGATTTGTGTGCTTTTTGACCTGGTATTTTCTGGGTGCTTGCAGAATACACTTTATACGCCTTATCAAGATTTCTTGATATAGTCAACCGGCAGGGGACAACGGATTAGAATAGCCTATTGTGTCACTGGATCCTTTGTCTTCACTGAAGTACCGAGTAAGATGAACTCATAGTAGTTTCAAGCATGTCAATTGACGAGTATAACACTCTGCAAGCGGAAACCAAGCTCAGGACGCTTGATATCGCGCGCGAATGCTTAACCTCTAGATGACTGAGCTGGCTTCCCATGGTGTTAGTGTTTTGTATGCAAACTGAAGACCAAATGTCCTGTGCTCGATTCCCACTTGCAGAATCGTGGTTAATTTTATGGTCGTCCTAGATATCAATGTCACGTGCTCCAATGTTGTTACTTACTGGTCGTCCTTACTGTTAATGTTGCTCAAATTTTGTTTCCTATTGGTCGACTTAACTGTCAATGTTACAGACTTTGATGCTGTTTCATATTCGACCTAAATGTTGTATAAATACGCATTATCTGTAACGTTTTATGACCAGGACCAGGACTCGGTCCCGAACCCCTAGACCGGGCTCCTGATTCTCTTAAGGACTCGGACCTCGTACTTTCTGGGTGCTTGTAGAATACAGGTTCTACTTCATATCGAGTCTTCTTATTTTCACTCAATATGGGGGTCGGTATGATCGGATTAGAGTAGCATGTTACCGGATCCTCTTGTATCCTTTTCCGCCGTCATTGTTAGATCTTCCACATATTTAGGTTTGTCGGCTCTGATGCTCCTCTTTACTTGCTTGTTTGCTTCTGTGTATCCAGCATATGCATTGGCTTTATCTGCTCTTGTTCGGCTGACGTTGATCACTACCCTCCTGGTCCTCTTCTCTTGAATCTTATCCAGAGTTTCAATAAAGATCCATTCCTTGTGACGGTGTTTGTTGTGACTCAGAACCTCCTGACGTGTTGAAGTGATTGCCTCTTTGACCCCTTTCTAGTTGTTCTCCATGGATATTTCCTCTCTGCTGAGTAAATCGTGGAAGGCATGGAACCTGTTGCTGAGGGCTATCTTGAATTCGTTGAGTTTTACGGTATCCCGAAAACAGGCCCTATTGAACTTCTGTGATGCTTTTCGCCTAGTTGTCCAGTGGTTCTTTAGTTTGAGCTTCATTTTGGCTACCAGCAAGTGATTGTCTGAAGCTATTTTGGCTCCTCTCTTTGTTCTCACGTCCTCCATGGCCCTTCTGAACCTCTCAGAGTTGCAGATGTGATCGATTTGTGTCTGTGTTATGTGATCCGGTGAAATCTATGTGCTTTGAGTATGAGTTTTTCTTGGAATATTGTGACGACTAGTTTGTTGAAGGCACATGCATATGCGAACCTGTCACCGTTTTCGTTCCTTTCCTCACTCCCTGTCTTCCTAGGATGTCTTCATATCCAGTGTTGTCCATGCCAATCTTGGCGTTTAGGTCTCCTATCAGAAGGATCAGGTACTTTGATGGGCATTTCTTGATGATTGACTGCAGGTAATTTTCTACGGGATACGGTGACTAACCCCATGCCCAATTCTCTTCGTTTATCCGCACTTGGGACCTTCAGCAACCCTACAAGGGCTTTAAGCAGAGTTATTTTAATAACACAGACATAATAATAATAGTTTTTGATTAAACTAATTCTTGTTTAATAAACAGTAACAAAACTGTCTGCTTAGTTTAATCCCGAAGATTATCACTTATGACTCAACTCATTTCCAACATATCAAAACCTTTAACATGGTTTACAGCGTTAAGTTAAGATTCATACTGGTTTGTGCTTAAATATTTGTTTAGCAGGTGTACGCATTGACGGGCTGATATAATATGCTCCACAATATTAAGTGCATTGATAAATGTACATCAACGTGGTGGTTTATTGCTGACATTTTGGATTTAGTTTTTAACTAGAGGAAACGATTTGGAACTCAGCTGAATTAAAGATCTTTCTCAAAGATCATTCAAACGGTGCGTTGCATAGTTAGAAACTAACTGATCAAGTTACATTGATCATTGATGACCGTCGGACACATCCTTTTTAAAGGATTTAGAAATATTTCTAGGTTCATCATTTCACCTACCCAGTTTCTCACTTGTTCATGCATTATTCAAATTGCTTTGTAGTTAATCATTATTAATTTGGTAATTACTTTTGCACATTATTAAATAATTTTTTTTCAGAATAAAACAAACTACTTGAGAATTTTGTCGGATTACTTTGAATTACATGGAAATGTGTTGGATAAAATTGATAAATTACCGAAATTTGTTCACATACATCAATTACAATATGGTCAACCATATTTAGAGTTATTGTCGAAAGCTCAAGTAAGTTTATATGATAAATGTATTTCTGTTGAATGATCTGATTGAAAAAAAAAATCATTGTTTTCAGTGATATTGTACTTGGATTAATTCAAGAATTTGGTTATTAGCTAGTGGATTGATAAACTGACTCACTGTTCATATAGTTGTTTAAAACTGTTAAACAAGTATTAACGACCACAAAGTAGAACTATGTTATCGGCATACTCTAAGTCAAAAAACGAGTCTCCTGGTGGAAGGTCCACTCCTGAAAAACCAGATGAAGTTATTGTTAACTCTAAAAGCACATCTACGACAGTGTTAAATAGGAATGGAGGGAGTGGATAGTCCTGATGGACACCACTTGAAGTTAAGAATTCCGATGACAGTTCGCCATAAGCTCTAACTCGACCAGTGGTGTTCGAGTAGAGAGCCTGTATAAGGTGCTCTTTTCAGCCACAAACACTGCCACAGAACCTCACGATCGACAGAGTCGAATGCCGCTTTAAGTTCGAGGAATACAACTATAGTGGGACGTGGAAGTGTGTGTCTATGTTCCAGGACCTGAGGAAGAGTGAGTAGATAACATTATGAGACTGCAAAGTTAAGCTAAGTCAACAGTTGATCATGTTTATCCTCATTAAGTTCGCTCCCTCTCTTACCTCTTAGTTTAGTATTTCAGTTTCACCTATCATCTTTTTGGATGTGAACATTATTGTTTAGTTTCACCAAATTAATAACAATTCATTAAACGACGGTGCCAAACTTATTAACATTGCAACAAAGGATCATGTATGGTGTGTGGGAAGTAGATCGACTAATAAAGGTTATCTGATGCAATTTGGAAACCAGTAACGTCGAATTCATCACGGTTAGAAATAGTCTCTGTAATTCTCAATTTTTCGATCAATGAAAGAAGGTTGACATTGATGCAGTCAAGTTTATCGTATTCTTCGCTAAGTTTATGTGACAAATGGTACTCATCGATAAAATGTTTAGAATGCTTACCAGATAATTTGTATGTAGGTGCATGTTATCTTTCTCAGTTGCATCTTCCTGGCTTATTTCCGTTAATTATCTTTTTACTGTAAAGTAATAATGACCTAAAATTGTATGAAACAATATTATCTGATAGTTGAATGTAATTGATTTTATGTTGTGCATGCTTTATGTTTATCGCATCATAATAATAACTTTTTGTATGAGATCTTTCATCAGTGAACACTTAATTAACTAAAATTATTTTAGGTGAGTAGTTAAGTTGTAAGTATGGAGATGTTGAGAGATGATGTGGTTCTATTGGTTGATTGTAATGAAAATTTGTATTTATTGTTTATTGTAATCGTGTAAACCACTAAAATGTTAATTGATGGAATATTTATTTTCGAAATTTTATTGTAGGTTATGATTGGATTGGGATTTCCTTATGAAGGTCCTGCACCTTTAGAAGCCATTGCTAATGGTTTAATTTTTCTCAATCCTCGTTTTAATCCACCTCACAGTCGAATTAGTCAAACATTTTTTACTGATAAACCAACTTCACGAGCTGTAAGTACTTATTCTAAACAGTTTTATTTGATCACGTGTTACTGGTAGCAAAGAACTGGAAAAGAAATCAATACTTTAGTTTACTGTTTAGTGACTAGTAGAGTTGAAATTTTTTTAATTCAAATTTGTTTCATGTTTTTGAGTCATTGGAACACACCTCACTGAACAATCTATTCTGTTACTGAATGAATAAACCTTTGAAATATATCTCATATTGCTACCTGGTTGGGGTACGCAAGACGAAAGTCACCAATGGTTAGAGACCTAGAACAACATGGCTAAGAATCGTATGCAATGGAGCAGGTGCATCCATTCTTTGTGTTCTCTCTAATTCTAACCTTCTGAATTCCTCATAATCTACACCTTTCTCCTTCTAAATTTATCTTACTGAATTATACTTCTCGAATCATATCTTCGCTCCCTAATCTTCTCCATTACTGCTAATACTTCTACTATCGCTATCACTCTTGGATTTGAAGTGACAGTTGCGTCTCTGTACTGATGTGGTATGGCAACCTGAACTGATGTACTTACGTACGAAGTTCTGCGTTGTATCTATCTGTGATATTGCTAATTTTTCGAGTTATTATTTATTCACTGGTACATCAATTACCCTAAAACAATTATTTTTTGTAAGTCTCATACTATTGGTTAATTCCTACTGGTCAATATTATGGTCATCCTGACTATTAGTGTCACTTCAAATGTTGTTTCCTGTTGGTCGTCCTAACTGTCAATGTCACATAATTCAATGTTGTTTGCTATTCAACCTAACTGTATAAATATGCATTATCTATAATATTTTATGACCCTGACCCAGATCCCTAGTTCGGGATCTGGATTCTCTTCTGAACTCTAACGTCGTACTTTCTTGATGTTTGTAGAGTATGGGTTCTACTTCATATCAAGTCATGTCTTCTTTTACTCAATGGGGATTTGGGACAATCAGATTAGAGTAGCCTGTCGTGTCACTGGATCCTCAACCCTCGCTCTCGTTTTCTGACTAAAGTAAACTCGTAATAGTTTAAGCATATCAAATGATGTGTTTACGTGCATGCGTAACAATGTGCCATGTATTTGTTGATTTTTTGTACTTCACTCATTGTTCATAGCATAGATTTAATGCAATTTGTCTTTTAATTTTTTTACCATTAATTTATTGCAACTGTGAATAACTAATCATTAATGAGAAAAGATTCTTTATCATCAACAGCAATGTAGGGCTTTGTACATACTTATTACATCAGTTCAAGTTGCCATACCACATTTGCACAGAGATACAATTGTCAATTTAAATCCGATAGTAGTAGAAGTAGTAGACGTATTAACAGTAATCGGAGAGATTAAGGTTCGAGAATATTATATTAAATAAAAACAAGTTTACCAGTGATGGTTAGATACGTTTTTTCAAAAAGGTTGATTTCAGGCAATCAATTGCTCTTGACAACATCATTAGGTAGCAACTTCTATCTGAGTTGTAAATCTTCTTTATTATTTTACTTGTCTATAGTGAAATATATATTCAATTATCAAAACGATAAACAGGGTTCAATATATAACGGCATATTAAAAAAACTATGTTTTTTTGGCATCATTTACCACTGTTGTATGTGACCGATGAGTGAGATTACGCTACTATATTAGACTAGAATGAAACGTGATTGATAGGTTATAGACACCATAGCATACCTGACATATAACTGACGACTGAGAATATAGAATTGAAGTATAATGTAAACAATACTTTATTCATCGTTCAATCAGTTCAGAGTAAATATCAATAAAGCAAGAAAGTCAGATTAAATCGTCAGCAAGTTGAAAATCTTGATTTACTAGCCACATTTCATGGGTGAACTTTAATTCAAATGTAAAAATAATGTTTTAATGTAAATCATCAGTTATTTACACCTGTCTATGTACTTTGAACCACATTGTTTGTGTTAGTTAACTTTTCAAATGCCAAATAGAGTAGCAGCTGAAGTGCATTGAAAAAATTGAACACATGTAACTACCCATTCAACATTACAGTTTATTATTAATAATAACCAGTAATAAAACAATATCAAATGTTGTAAATCAGTTTATATTGATAGGAAAAATGTTACATAAGTTATCTTGTTGTTGTTAGAGAGAAATTAATACATCATATTAACTTGGCATAAATATACCAGTCTACATTATTTTCAATTACTTCAGTCTTTATTGTTTTCTGATAAATATTTCAACATGTCAACAACTTGTTGATCAATTCAAAAAAATCATTTATGTTTTGAATGAGTCCCAAAAATCCCTTATTCATGTGAACTGGAGTCCTAGAAAATCCTGGAAGAGGTTTTTTGTTCAATCGGTTTTGTGTATGTAGAATCGTCACAGAAACAACTCGAAGGTAAGGAGTTAGTTACCTATGTATAGTTGACCAACTATGTATACCCTCGAATTTTTCTGTACATTAACTAACCTTAGAGTAAAGCATTTACTTGCAATTCGCACTTTTCTTTATTTAATGTTTTCATTTGACATGTACAAGTTGTTCGAGTTATTGGAACTAGTTATTAGGATAACACAATTTAAGCGTGTCGGTAATAAGATTTATCAATCTACATTTATATTCATGTTTATTCTATTGTAATAAAAATATTTTTTTTTGCAAAATCTATCATCGACAAATGATAAAATGCATTAGTTCCGCCTTTATGATAAAACTTTGACCTTAATAAAATGTATTTGCGTTTATATATAAATCATGAGACTGACTATGTATCAGCATCAGTTTAATGTTGCTGACCTAATTTATTGCCATCGAAAAAAAGTACGATAAAATTTACAAAACTAATTATGTGTGTAAAATGATAGGTAAATAAACATGTAGCTATGGAAGGGAACACTTCTGAACTAGTTTTTTTTTTTACTTGTGTTTTAATAGATAAAGTAATGAAACTTCATCAGTTGAGGTGATTGGGACGTGTGTTACGTATGCCTAACTACCGACTGCCTCGACGAGCTTTCTTTTGTAGTGTAGGAATAGGTTGGAAGAAAGTTAGGGGCGGCCAGACCAAAACATGGCAGAAATCCATGAAGTCATTGACGAGTGGACTTACCCATGTCGGTATTTGTCGACTACCTTGTTGGGGTCCGCAAGATGATAGTAATCGATGGTTAAGAGACCTTGAATGACATGGCTCAAAATCGTTTGCAATGGCGCAGGTGCATCCACTCTTTGAGTTCTATCAAATCCTAATCTTCTGGATTCGTCAACACCTCTACCTTTGTCTTTCTATACTTACCTCACTGAATTATACTTCTGGAATATTATCTTCAAATCCTGATCTTCTCCTTCAGCAGTAATACTTGTTCTATCTCTTCCACTATGTGATTTGAATTGACAATTACATTTGTGTGCTAATGTGGCATGGCAACATGAACGGATGTACTTACGTGAAAAGTTCTAGGTTGTAACTGGCTGACTGACTGAGTACTTGCTCCGTTATACTGCAACAGTTAGCTAGTCGTACACTCGAAATATAACAATGGCCAAACCAGTCATGTCGGTAGGTGTCGACTACCTGGTTGCGGTCCGCGAGATGATAATAATCGTTTGTTAGAGACCCTGAATGACATGGCTCAAAACCGTTTGCAATTGCGCCAGTGCATTTATTCTCTGTGTTCTCTCAAATCCTAATCTTCTGGATTCTTCAACACCTCTAGTTTTTTCTTTCTAAACTTATCTCATACTTCTTGAATAATATCTTCTAATCCTAACCTCTCGGATTACCTCTAATACCTTAACTACCTCTTCTAATATTGGATTTGAATTGACAATTATATCTCTGTGCTGATGTGGTATGGCAACATGAACTGATGCACTTATGTACGAAGTTCTACGTTGCTGACTGACTGATCTCACCAGTTCGACGTTCGGTTTTTACAACTGTTTAAACTGTTTGAAAATCGAATACAATAATTATTCTTTAATGAAAATATTTTTTCACTTTTATTCTTCTGAAATATTCATATGTGCTGTTATTAATTGCTAGCATATATATATATATATAAGAGAGGTAAAAGCGATAATTGACTTGAGAAGCGGGAAAATGGCCACAAAGTACGGTTCATTGCCAATACATGAAAGTAGTGAAGTGGCTGAAATAAGGATGGCAACGGACGTCTCGACTAAGAAACCTAACGTTAACGAGTTATGCGCAAAGTATGCGAAACTGTTCACTGGAGATGGGGAGCCGTATGGATTTTGTGACAAAGTAAAGCATGAAATTCCTATAAAGAACGACCGAGTAAATATATTTACAACACGTCGTGTCCCGGTGCATTTAGAGGCCGAGGTAAATCGACAGGTCCAGGAAATGTTGAAGGAAGGTATAATTGAGGAAGCAGACAGCCCGTATAGCTCACCGGTACTCTTGATAAAGAAACCCAATGGAAAGTATAGATTTTGCGTCGACTTTAGAGAACTGAATAATATAACAGACCTGAAACCGTGCGCAATTCCAACAGTAGTAGAAACATTAGATCGATTACAGAATGCCACGGTGTTTACAGTACTGGATTTACGGTCAGGTTATTGGCAACTACCTATAAAAGATAGCGATCGCAACAAGACAGCATTTACTATACGGGATAAACAGTATCAATTTAAACGAATGCCGTTCGGGTTGGCTGGTGCACCGTTCACGTTCAGAAGATTGATGACGCTGCTTCTTAAGAATCTAGATAATGTTGAGGTATATGGCGACGATGTAGTTGTATACAGCCTGACGGAAACAGATCACATCAAGCATGTGGAAGCGGTCTTAAAGCGAATTGACGAATTTGGGCTTCGAATTAATAAGGAAAAGTCGCAGATAGCGAAAAACAGCGTCATATTGTTGGGACATAAAGTGGGAAATGGAGAAATAAAGCCATTACCAGAGAAAATTCTTACCATAAAAAATATTGCAGTACCTAATTCGAAAAGGAAGTTGAGACAGTTCCTGGGAAGAGCGGCGTTCTATAGTCGGTTTGTCAATAATTTCAACGAAATAGCAGCGCTTTTGTATAAGTTGCTGAGCAACACCAAGTTTAAATGGACTGAGGCTGCCGAACAAACGTTCAACCGAATCAAAAACATGCTAGACGATCGTCAGATGACGCTGCGACTGTCTGAACCCGGTAACTGTTTACAGTGGCCACAGATGCAAGTGATCATGATATAGGTGCGGTATTGAGTCAGGCTGATAGAGTGGTGGAATACGCAAGTCGCGTTCTCACACCCGCCGAACAGAAGTATTCATCGATCGAAAAGGAGTGCCTAGCAATCGTGTGGGCAGTAGAGAAATGGAGACCGTACCTTTTAGGTAGACGATTTCACATTGAGACTGACCATAAACCCCTGCAGTGGTTGAGAACAGCAAGAGATCCACGAGGGAAGTTGGCGCGGTGGATGATACGTCTGCAAGAATACGACTTCAGTATCGGCCATTTTCTAGGAAAAGAAAACGTAATGACAGATTACTTGTTGAGATCAGACATGGAAGATGACCTTCCAGTGACAGCATACGCGGTGAATAGTTTAGATGGAGACCCATTAGAACTCATCCGGCAACAGAAAGCTGACCCGAACCTTCGAGAGGTAATCAGAGTCACAAAAGAAGGAGAAGACGTAGACAAACGAACAACGGACAAGGAGGTAATAATGTTACTTAAGCAAAAGGAACGACTGAGAGTGAACGCATATGGAGTCCTGACCTGGCGGGATGATGACGAGAATTGGGTAGCAATAATCCCAAAAGATCTGCGCCAGGAGATGATTCGTGATTGTAACCAGGTAGCGCACACAGGTATTGCACGGACAACTGATTTGCTGCGGCAAAGTGCGTACTGGCCAGGTATGAGAGACGATGTTGCACGATTTGTATTAGCGTGCTAGCGATGTCAACTAATGAAAGGGGATCGATACATGCGACCGCCATTGCAGTCAATTCCAGTAACAGCAGTTGGTGATTTGTGGTCAGTAGATGTTATGGGACCGTTCCAGCAGACGACAAGTGGTAACCAGTACCTGCTGGTGATGACTGAGCATGCCACACGATGGGTAAATGCCGTGCCGATGGCGGACCAACGTGCAAGGACGGTGACGGAAGCGGTAATGCGGCACATTGTGGCGGACCATGGGATACCAAAGATAATATTAACCGATCAAGGTCCCTGTTTCGAGGGTGATGAGTTCAAGTCCCGTCTAAAGCAGTTAGGTATCAAGAGAGTACGAACAACGCCGTATCATCCACAGACGAATGGGTTAACGGAAAGGAATAACCGAACGCTAAAGGAATGGCTAGCATCTAAAGGGGGTGACTGGGAGAAAGAATTACCATTAATCTTGCTGGCACATCGTGCCTCGGCACAGGGAACAACCAGGAATTCACCGTTCCAGCTGATGTACGGCAGACGGCCGAGACTACCAACGCATGATAAAACCTGGCCGCAACAACAGAGGTGGAATACAACAAGATTGAGAACAGAGCGGAGACAAGCAATCAGGAATGTGAGAGAGAAACAAACATCAGACATGGAGAAGTCAGAACAGGAGAGAAAGAACTGGAGACCATTTGAAGTGGGAGATCAGGTGAAGTGTAGAGAACGGAAATATACCACAGGAAGAGGGCCAGGGTCAGGTAAGCTGATCCCGAAGTGGGAGGGACCGTACGTCGTCACCGAGAGGCGCGGCGTAGTGTATACGATCCAGAAAGGAAACAAACAGAAACGCGTGAATGCCAGTGAACTCCAAAGGTGGTTCCAAGTGCGCCAAGAGGGCGAGCCACAAACACTGATAAACAAGACGACTGTACGGAGATCAGAAAGACTACGACGACAGCTGATTAAAAGGGGGGACGAGTGTGGTGCGAACTACTTATAAGTAGTATATAACATGAGTGTCAACGTAAAGTCTGGTAGCATAATATGGGGAGAAGATCAAGAAAGGAAGAGTTAGAATCAATGGAATTTGTATGAAACGCATGAATAGTGACAATGGATTGATGTTTGGCAACAGGAACAGTCCAGTTCCATAGGATGAACTGATCTTTTGCAAATGAACGATTTACGATATGGTTTTCCGATTTTACTGAGTAACTATATTGTGGTGATTTCATTTCGTTTATTAGATTTTTTGATTAATTTCGAATATCAACTAGTTGAGCTAAGGGACATTTATCCCAATCTCTCTGAATCGATTGTGACTGGTTGACTTTTTCCAATATCATGTGATAGGCCGACTGATGAATAATTAACTATGAACGACGAATTTGCCTCGTTTTATTTCTTGTTTATTCAACTTATTATTAGTATATTGAAATGTTTTCATACTTTTGACCATGATTTATATATATATATATATATATATATATATATTGCATGATGCAGTTAACTTTGTATGACCCTAAAACTACTTGGTCATAGTTATGATTAGACAAGAAAATTACAAGACTGATGATTTGACATGAAAGTGCCAGATAATTGCCTACGTAGTCAATCATTGATTGTGTATTTGATTTTTCCCCATTCCTTTATTGTTTCTATTCTTTTTCTGTTTTACTGTTACTGTTTATTGCTTTCCTTTATATATATATATATATATATATATATATATATATATATATATATATATATATATATATATATATATATATACATGTACGATGAACGATATTGTTTTAAGCTTATTAATATTTTTCTTTCTTTAGAATAGGGCTTTTATTATTAAACTTTGAAAACTTCAAATAATTTATAAGGTTTAAAGATTACGAACTAGTCTCATGCCACTTTGATAAAATGATGAATTATGACTGTTGATTATTATTATTTCTATTTTTGTAGCTTACCAGCCAACATCCATATATTGAAAACCATATCAGTGAACCTTATTCCTATTTGATTGATATGGACAATGAGGCACAGATACGTCAAACTGTTCAACGTATTCTGACAACCATTAAAGTAAGATATCGTTGCTATTCTTGAATTTTTATGTACTGTTTAATAATAATACTCTAAGAAAGAGAATAATTAGTAACTTTAAATCATCACTCAGCTGATGGGTCTCCTAAACTTAATTGTATGGAAATCCTTAGCACCGTTGTTTCATTACCTTCAGCTTCAAATTTAAGGATAGTTTTGAGATCTGCCAGTAAACTTTGTGCTGATATGTGTATGAATCTGACATTAGTCATATAACAGTTATCCCTTTGGTTAGGAGAAATTGTATCGGTAAATTTGGACGGTTGAATCACACTTTACTGATTGATATTTAATCACTGTCTATTGATTTTTTAGAAAGGATCCTATCGTCCTCACGAATATAGTCCATGGGGTTTTTTCGAACGTCTCAACGCTTACTTAACACGTCAAAATATTTGCTCAACACCTTTTTACAACAAATTGATCCAATCTCCTTTGCCGGTGCCAGTGTCTGATGGGTCTGAAAAATTTAACTACATGGATTCCCCTAACACCTCCGTTTCATGGCCTCCAGCTTCAAGTTTAAGGATAGTTTTGGGATCTTCCGGTAAATCTTGTTCTGAAGTGTGTATGAATCTGAAAACCTCGGAAAACACTTCTGTACAACACCCTAATATTTCTGCTCATTCCATTCATGACATAACGCAACATCCCCAAATACAGAATGGATACCTTTACTATCGTTCTATACATGCTACCCCTCCGCAAAACTTGTCTCATCTTTACACATTTCGCTGTTCTCCAGAACACTTTCCAAGTATTAATAACCGACTAAACCTTCAACATTTTGGTATTTCTTGTCCTAATATTACCTATACAACTAGTCCGATGGCACCGTATTGGGACGATGCAAGCAGTTCATGTGTTTTTCAAGCTAGTCATGAATGGTTTGATTGTACTGCTTCAGGAACTATGAACGAATCTCATGTATTTTCTCGTTTTTGTCCTTGTCGTGACGCTCTTCCTAACCAGATTTCTTTATGTTCTAACTGTTTGTGATGAAATATTTTATTCCCTAATAATCACATATGTAGAACATATACTCTACTATCTTTCCATCCGGTTTTATCTAGATAACTTGTCTACACTTTGAAGCACTGTATATTTGCTTTTGATTTTTTGTAGAAAAGTATTTTCGCCATTTAAGTATTCAAGATTGATCATGATATTTATTTATCTATTACTGCATTTTAATTTGTATTTACTTCGTATGAATTCTAGTCAGTAAAATGTGTCTTTTAAAATTTTTATTCTTTAAGATTGTATCGTATTACAGTTTAAATTGGGATCTTTTTCTATAACTTCGATTCTGTATATGTTTGTGTATCCTATTTTCGAATCTTTAAACGGCAAATTTATTGTCTAATGAGAAACAGAGTTGTTTTTTCTATATGATTTCGCAATATTAAGTTGATCCTAATAGGAAGTGATTTGGTGTGACGTTTTACATATGATCTACTGTTGGACACTGGAATATACACTCAAGTCATTCAGATGCAACGTAGAACGTCGTACGTAAGGTGTCCCAGGATATACGAGCAATGCTTCGAAGACACCTATGATCGAAAACCAGTAACCTACGAATATCTTCTACTCTCACTGGCCATGTTTCACAGCCATAAAGTAAGACGGAGCGAACCACTGCGCAGTACACTCGTCCTTTAGTCAGCAAACGGATATCTCGCCTACGCAATAAGTGACGCAGGTTGGCGAAAGCCAATCGAGCCTTCTGTATCTGAGCTGAGATTTCGTCACAAACCAGGCCATCGGCACTGATAAGACTCTCAAAAGTGAAGTGAAGCGGTTTACACGTTCGACTGTTTCACTCCCTATCACTAGTTCAGGTGCCGATGAAACCCATTCTTGAAGCAACATTTTGCATTTCGAGGGCGAAAACCGCATCCCGAACATGCTTGCATTGTTCCTTAGGGTGGTCAGAAGACTCTGCATTTTGTCAGCGTCTTCACTAAGTAGGACAATGTCATCGGCATATTCTAAGTCAATAAGCAAGCCACCTGGTAAAAGGTCTACTGAAAATTCAGACGAGGATAAGGTTTTATCTAGGAGCATGTCTATGATAAAATTAAACAAGAATGGAGAAAGTGGACATCCCTGACGGACACCACTTGAAGTAAAGAATTCCGTTGACAGTTCGCCATAAGCTCTCTCACGCTTTTTCACCATCATCCTTAAATATCTCAGGGGTCAGTCTATCATTACCTGCAGCTCGCCCTCGCTTCAGGTTTCCTAACGCTTTCTCAATTTCATAAAGACTGGGGGGACTTAGGTCGATTTGCCATTCAGGATGACTGGAGATCGTGGGTAACCGAAGAGTGGCTGAAGGCCATTTGAACTGATCCCTAAAGTGTTCCGCCCATCGATCCAGTCTCCTGGATTGAGAATAGATAGTAAGACCATCCTTTTCCGAGATAGTCTCACTTACACTAGGATTCCTAATACCAGTTTCCTTGATAAGTCGGGAAAGTTGTCTACTGTTGCCTATCGCCGCTGCCTTTTCCATCTCCTTTGCATTCGCCACCCAACACTGTTCACGGTTATTACGCAGGCTTTTTATCAGCATGCGCCTAAGCTGACTTCGTTCTTCATCATGTTCAGAGCCAGGTGGGATGGGTTTTTGGGCATCCATCATACCGGTGGATACTACTGAGATCCACGGCTTCATTCTAGCCTTATAACCAACCTTACTAGCAGATATAACTGCTATTTACACAGCATTTTTAATATCATTGACACCTGCGTTCGGATGGCAATCACATTCATGGTCGCCAAACTGTCTTTCTAGTTCACCCTAAAATATATTCTTCGCCCTATTATCATTAGGTAAAACCCTGAGGAGCTTTCTTACGGTGTCTTTCTTACGCCCGGTAAGCCCCAAAACAAATAATCCCTCACACTAGGGCATGGTCTGAGTCTAAACAAGTGCTCAGGAATGAGCGGCAGTCTTCAACAGAGCCTTTCCACTAATGGCCTATAGCGATGTGATCTAGTTGGGTCCATCGTTGGGTTGGCTTGGGGGGTCGTTAGGTCAAAATGTACTTTACCTTATGCCTAAAGTTAGTGTTTGCTAGAAATAGTTGGTTATCTGGGCATAGTTGCAACAGACGGTAGCCATTGTCTGTTCTCTGAGCCGCGACACCATATCATCCACCTAGGTGTCTTTCCTGCTCACTTAGTCTACCTACTTGAGCATTAAAGTCACCAGCCATTAGTACTATATCAGACTGCCTAACATTTTGGAGGAAGTCCAAAAGCTTTCTGTAAAGCTCACCTTTCACTTCGTCTGAACTGCAGTCAGTGGGTGCGTGGGCAGATATGACGAAGAGGCAACGACGAGTGTCCCTATCTTTCCGAGTCCTTACTGTCCCGTTTAGCCGGACAGCTCGAAATCGACTATCTGCTGGGATCCAGTCTAGGAGAGCTAGTTCGGCCCTACGTCTCAATGTTATGCCTACACCAGCGAGACCCCTGGAAGCAGCATCAAGGTTATCAGATACACGAAGAGTGAATCCAGCTGCTTCTTTATTTTGACAAAGTGAAATCAAATTATTGACTTTACTACTATCCCGTATGCGCCTATAGGAGACACATCATGTATCGATGGCGCAAGATTATAATGTCCTAGCTAAAGAAGCCTGTTGGTTTATTTGACGCAATGTCGGAAATTTAAATGCCCAAGCATGTAATTTAGAAGGAGGTTACTGGAGACCAGGAATGACGTTTCGCGAACTCGTGTCGCCTGCATTAGCTGTGCACTGTGATAAATGAATGTGACAAGAGTTGTTCGTTGAGACAAGAGAGGTATTAGAGGGTGTAGGAAGGATTTGATTTCGACCCATTTCGTCTCGTGTGCTGTTATGGGTATGAGGACGGTTGTCACATCCCGGCTGCCCACACCGTGGAAGGTTGTTTCTTGATCGACCTGAAAAGGAAGATAGATTAGTGTTGGTCTTATCGACCTGGGAGCGTGACCGCGGAGCCCAACGGACAACTGCTTGAGGCCGATCAGGAGCGGCCTTTTTATGAAAAGCTTTTTGAGTATTAGCTCCGCTCTTGAAAGCCCTTAGTGAGTACCCTTACCGACAGAGACGGAAATCCGTGAGGTAGGGTGAGGTGTGACATTTTTAGGGTCGACCTTTTCTAACCCTTCCTTTCTTGGGAGAAGGCAGCATCGCTGCGAATGCTGGTTGTCCGAGGGAAACACCTCACTGCTGTCACACCCCTCTGCAGTCAGCAGTACAACTTCACCCTCGGACCTTGGGTAGCTGCTTTTAGTCTCATCGTTCTCCAATCGAACTGCCTGACATGGCAGAACCTACAGCAACATATGTTCCAGCCAATATAGTTCGATTAGGTCATTACGATAGTCAAGCCCGACCACCACGCCAAGGTAGCAGCTACGGTCGGGGTTTCGAGGTCTCTAAAAAATGCTAAGGTCGATAAGGGTCAAGTTCATGAGATAGTGTTGGTTGGTGGTTCCACTCGCATCCCTAAGGTGCAGAAGCTGTTGCAGGACTTCTTCAGCGGCAAGGAGTTGAACACATCTATTAATCCGGATGGGGCAGTGGCTTATGGTGCAGAAGTGCAGGCAGCTATTCTGAGTGGTGACAAGTCCGAGGCTGTGCAGGACTTGCTGTTACTTGACGTAGCTCCATTGTCACTGGGTCTTGAGACAGCTGGAGGTGTGATGACGGCTTTGATTAAGCGCAACACGACAATCCCGACGAAGCAGACTCAAACGTTCACGACGTACTCGGACAATCAGCCCTGTGTGCCTATCCAGGTGTTCGAGGGCGAACGCGCGCTGACAAAAGACAACAATTTGATTTGCAAGTTCGAACTGTCAGGTATCCTACCCGTTCCTCGTGGTGTTCCACAGATCGACGTGACGTTCGATATAGACGCAAACGGTATTCTGAACGTTACTGCCGTCGACAAGAGTAGTGGGAAGGAAGGCAAGATGACGATCACAAATGTCAAGGGTCGTCTGACAAAGGAGAAGATTGGACGGATGACTGCTGATGCGGAGTTGTACAACGTTGAGGATGAGAAACAGAAGGACCGCGTTTCTGCAAAGAACTCGTTTGAGAGTTATGTGTATGCAATGAAACAGGAGTGGAATATTTGTTTTAAAAGAAGACAATCACATAATGAAAGGTAATGTTACAGTTTAAAAAATACCCATCTGTTCGTTTGTTTTATATATAGTACATATGCAGAGGTACAAAAATGCAACAGAATGAAGTAAACGTGGACCACAACATGACCACATAACTTAGGAAAAATCTAAAGACCAGCACCGTTGTAGCTGCTACCTTGACGTGGTGGTCGGGCTTGACTATCGTAATGACCTAATCGAACTATATTGGCTGGAACATATGTTGCTGTAGGTTCTGCCATGTCAGGCAGTTCGATTGAAGAACGATGAGACTAAAAGCAGCTACCCAAGGTCCGAGGGTGAAGTTGTACTGCTGACTGCAGAGGGGTGTGACAGCAGTGAGGTGTTTCCCTCGGACAACCAGCATTCGCAGCGATGCTGCCTTCTCCCAAGAAAGGAAGGGTTAGAAAAGGTCGACCCTAAAAATGTCACACCTCACCCTACCTCACGGATTTCCGTCTCCGGCGGTAGGGATTTTTGAAGAAGAGTTGAAAAAACTTCCCATATAAAGGACATTGGTGACCGGCCTCGGGTAAATTTCCCCTAGGTTCTGAGGTCACTCCCCCAGGTCGATAAGACCAACACTAATCTATCTTCCTTTTCAGGTTCTCCAAGAAATAGCCGTCCGTTGTGTGGGTAGCAGGGAAGTGACATCCGCCTTCATACCCGTAACAACACACGAGACTGAATCGGTCACAAAACAAATCCTTCACACAAACCATAACATCCCCCTTTCCCCCTTATCTCCACGACTAACTCTCCTCACATTCATTATCACCCTGTGCCACTGATGCAGACAATGCAAGTTCCAAAAACGTTATTCGTGGTCTCCAGTAACCTCCTTCTAAATTACATGCTTGGGCATTTAAATTTCCGACATTGCGTCAAATAAACCAACAGGCTTCTTTAGCTAGGACATTATAATCTTGCGCCATCGATACATGATGTGTCTCCTATAGGCGCATACGGGATAGTAGTAAAGTCAATAATTTGATTTCACTTTGTCAAAATAAAGAAGCAGCTGGATTCACTCTTCGTGTATCTGATAACCTTGATGCTGCTTCCAGGGGTCTCGCTGGTGTAGGCATAACATTGAGACGTAGGGCCGAACTAGCTCTCCTAGACTGGATCCCAGCAGATAGTCGATTTCGAGCTGTCCGGCTAAACGGGACAGTA